TATAGTCGTTGAATGAGGTTGACAAAGACTTGGGGACTACGCGCCGTAGTGTTGAAGCGGTCTCCAAATTACTTCTCGGTCAACGCTGTCTGTCGAAGGCCTTTACGAAGACGATGAAGTTGAGGTACTGAGGGGTTTGACTGCCATTCTATGCTTTGTTCGATGACGATGAGTTGAGTTGCAATTTGATCTGCACATGACTTGTCTTCCCTGAATCCAGCCTGTTAGCGGTGACGATGGAGTTGTGCATCCAGTGCATCTTTTATTCTCTCCAGGATGATGCGATTTGGTATTTTACTTGGTGTAGACAAGAGCAGTATTCCACACCAGTTCTTGGAGAGTGAGGCGTGAGTCACCCTTGTTTAGTAGCTCGACAAGGCAGCTTTTCTTTCAGTCATTTGCTACCTTTCCTTCCTTGCAAACCTTTTGCAACAATGGTGTGAGTACTTCTGCCACAGTCTCTGAGCCTGTTTTCAGTGCTTCAGAGTTGGGCAATTCCATCTGGTCCTGCTGCCTTCCCTGCTGGTGTTCAGTAGCTTGATCGCATTCAAGATTTCTGCTTTCGTTGGAGGATTGGTGTCCACTGACAGGTAGTTCTGTGCTTGCTGTTGTTGGTGTTGGTAGCATTTCTGGGCGAGTTGCAGGTGATGGTCGATTCAAGAGTCCTATGAAGTCGTCAGTCCATTCATTGTTTCACTCGTTTCTCCTCCTTGGTAATCAGGTTGCCTTAAACATCTTTTATTGGTTTCATCGTCTGGGTTGATCTCTTCCGGGATAGAGACCTGGTTATCTGATATAATGTTCTGAGGTCTCTCTTTAACCTATGGCCTGCCTGTTCTGCTGCAATTACCAGCCATTGTGTCTCAAAATTGTCTCTTGTCTTTCCTGGGACTCTTCTTCACCTCTTTATTCAGTGAAGTGTACATCGAACTCAGCTTTTCCTTCTGTTGTCCAAATTTACATTGAATCATCTTCTCTTTCACCATTCCAGGTATCCGTTGAGAGCCATTCTTTTGTTGTGCCTCTTCTTTCTTCCTAGAACTGTTTTACACGTTTCCTTCAAAGAGTTCCAATGTTCTTCCATTCACCTTTCCTCAGTGATGTCACGTAGTGTGTCCGATTATGCTCTGATCTGATCTGTAGTGAAGGTGTTCCTTGTAGTTTTGTTCTTCAGTTTCTGAATGTTGAACTTGAGTTTAAGTGTCCTGTCTCCAGTTGTTCTGAAAGATTTAAGCTTCACCTTGAATGTTCCTTGAACTAGATGGTGGTCTGAGCTCATATCTGCTCCCCTTCTCGACTTTGTATCCACCAGGGTGGCTGCGTCTCTACTTCCTTGAGCAGCATTGAAATGAAATCTCTCTGGTTTTGTGATATGTCCGTCAGGTGAAGTCCATGTTGCTTTGTGAGTATTCTTGTGCTTGGACATGCTGCCTCCGACCACCAAATCATTGAAAGCGCTGAAGTCTGCAAAGAATTCTCCGTTCTCATTCATTTCACTGAGCTAGAGCCTCTCGACCCATGCATGATGAGTTCTCTTCCTGTATTATCTGCTCTCAGTTTGGCTAGCATTCATATGGCCCATGAGGATTTCGATGTCGCCATGTGGGATATTGTCCATCACTGTTTGTAGTTGTCTGTAGAAATCTTTCTTATTCTCTTCTTCCGCGTTGTTTGTAGCACTGTTCGTAGCATTGGATAATTGTGACTTTCCTTCCTTTTGAGCTGAATCTTGCTGTCGTAGTCCTGCATGCGGAGATTGGTTCCTACTGCATTAAGGCTTTGACTGCCACTGATGACATCATGATAGCTACTCACTGCCTCAGTGTGCTCGTGGTTGTCGTCTGTGTGACCAGATCGAAGTAGATCACCGACTCACTATTTGACAGTTTCGAGAATCCACATCCATTCCAATTACTCTCACAGATTCCCAGCGCTTCTATACCATGCCTTCTCACATCTTTGACTTCGTGTGTAGCCTTCCCAGCCTCTTATATTGTACGAACATTCCACGTCTCCATTCTTATTCTTGCTTTCATCGAAAGAAGACACATCTGTTGGTTGACTGGCTTCTTGAAAACTTTCATGAGCCCACTGTATCATTTCGCATCTCCATTCCAGCGAAGAATAAGTTTTTTTTTAAAATGTATTTTTTGTATTTTTAATATTTTTATAGTGCGTTGAAGTGTTTCTATAGCAGTTTGATTAATTTTAAAGGGTAGGTTCGCTAGCCTCACACCCTCCCAACCCTCCCTCTTTTTCCGGCCTTTGGACCGGCTAGAAAACTAGAGAGTTAGTAACCTAGGCAAGGTTTACACAACGTTGGCAATACTAGTCAAGGGGAATATGAAACATCCTTAGTAGTTGATAGGCGTATACAGAAATTAGTTACTGTGTTGGATTTTCATCTAGGCAAAGTGGTATGTAAAGCTGCAAACTGTCCAGGAGACAAAATGTTTTGACTAAAAAGATCATGTGAAGTCCATTAAATAAGTCCACTACTATCCGATGAAGATTGTATAAGCTTCTCAGGTCAAAGCAGTAGACTGGAATCATTTGTGTGTGTTAACAAAGAACAAACGCTTAAAGGAATCTCAATTAGACTATACCAAAATACAAAAAAAAATCTAGAAAGAGCCTTTGCTATGCCACTGTATTCAGTGACACACAATTGTACACAATAATATGTAATTGAGTGACATTCCTGTAATTTAATGCAATAATATAGCAAAACAGTATGCTGACTGGGGGGCTTTATTGATCGAACGAACCAGGAATACCCGCAGCAACAACACTTAGTGCTGCATTGTAGTCACAGTTGATTTTAGCTCGTTTAATTGACATATTAGACAATGATGAAAGGGGATTATTTTCTGCATGACATAGCGAACACAGTTTATTGTTCATAATCATCACATGAAGTGTATCCCCACAACTTTGTTACTTAATTTTTATATCTCTAATTCTCCTCTTCTGTCCTAGTAAAAATTTTCAGATATCCGGGGTATAAGTGTTAAATAATGTCATTTGCATATGTATATATCCTGTTGTCTTGATTAGGAAAGGTTACACTCTAGTAAGTTGGGTTACAGGACTACTAATTCACATCCCATCCTGTTTGTACATGGTTGTGAATCACAGGACGCTTATTTTTAGTTAAGATTTTATCTGGATTTATTTTAGTGAGTATACATTTTTATAAGTCTGTATACCCTGATAATATTATTTAACACTGGGCTGCTACATCGGTTCATATATTTCACATAGTACTCTTTGGAACTTATTAGAAAGGCTAAAATATTGTGTTTTTACAGTCTTCATAGGGTCTTTTAGCTGAAAGTGTAACAACAGAAGACAAGGGCCAGGCAACAGATCGTTTTATTATGAAAATCAACACGTATTTATACATCTTTCAACTACATTATTATAGACAAGCGCAGTCATCTGATTGGTTGTTTAGGTAGACAAACGCAGGCTTCTGATTGGTTGTTTCGGGCTTCCTTGACAAATAGAGTTCTCTCTGCGAATCATATTCTGCCACGTTAACTTTGCTGTGATTGGTTGTTGACTCAGGCTTGTTCATATTTTCTCACGGCCCATATTAGTGACCTAGACCTTAACGTAGATTAGTGCCAACCAATCGGCTAGCAGCCTGCTCTCACCACACTCGTCCCCCCGTCAAATACGTGCGACTGAAGTCGGCTTGATCTACTTGGTGCAGGCGTTATCGTTGGCTTGTCTCGCTGTATCCATTTCTGGAGCTCGCTGACGTTCACGCGCCTCTCATTGTTCGCCATTGCGACTGTGTCTGCGTAACCCCATCTCGAAGTGACCATATATGGTCCTTCCCACTTTGGAAACTGTTTGCCTGACCCTGTCGAACATTCGTCCATACTTCGGCCCACACCTTCATATGCTGCTTTCGCCCGACCTCCCAGCAGCGTCTCAAGTAGCAGCTCCATCGCTGACAGATCTTGAACGCCACTCAACTGCGCAGAAGCCTTGAAGTCCTGCCCGAAGATCCATATGTCTCCATCAAAAACTGCAGGGTATAGGCTTTTCATTTGTCGGTAGGCAGCGACACCAAATGTAACAACAGAAGACAAGGGCCAGGCAACAGATCGTTTTATTATGAAAATCAACACGTATTTATACATCTTTCAACTACATTATTATAGACAAGCGCAGTCATCTGATTGGTTGTTTAGGTAGACAAACGCAGGCTTCTGATTGGTTGTTTCGGGCTTCCTTGACAAATAGAGTTCTCTCTGCGAATCATATTCTGCCACGTTAACTTTGCTGTGATTGGTTGTTGACTCAGGCTTGTTCATATTTTCTCACGGCCCATATTAGTGACCTAGACCTTAACGTAGATTAGTGCCAACCAATCGGCTAGCAGCCTGCTCTCACCACAAAAGAAGAAAAATAATTAGACACACGAAAACTAAACCTCCAACCATCTATTATCAACAATTCAAAGTGCACCGTCATGGTGAGCCATACCTAGCTTGATGGTGTGGCCTTATTGCAAACCTGACTGATAGAATTCAGTCTGCACCGACGAAAGAAGCACTGATACTGTCCTACAGGAGGCCAGTCGCGAACCCGAATAGCTCAATGGTAACATTGTCTCTGACTGCTGCACTCACTGAGTAGTGAGGCGGGTTTGAATCTCAGAAGCGACGTGACTTCCTTCAAAGTTGGAGATAAGCGTTTCTGACTAGTTCTAACCAACGCGAAACATGGGCCAGGTGGTGCTTCCTAATATCAATAAGCCTCAAGGTTTCGAAGTTACAATTGATAGGACCAAAACTTCACCCAGTCAATTAATAATGTTTTATTGTATTTTGATTGAACATTAGTAACTAGTGTGATCTGTCTAGTCCTTTCTTTGGTGCAGACTGAATTCTATCAGTCAGCTTTGTAATGTGGCCACCATTTTAGGTAGCTTGCCATCACAGTGCACATTAATTTGATGAGAGTAGATGGTTGGAGGCAATCGGCAGGAAGCCTTCGACCTAGGTTTCGTGCTAGTTGGCACTCACTAGTCAGCAAGGCATACCTTCGACCTTGAAAGAACTCATTTCCTTTCTGAGATTCGAACCCGCGTCACCTAGTGAGCACTGGAGTCAGAGACATTACCATTGAGCTATTCGGGCTAGCTCGCGATTGATCTCCTGTAGTACTGTAGTGGATATTTTGATCTACTATCAATGTGCACCGTGATGGTGAGCTGTCTAGAATGGCGGCCACATTACAGAGCTGACTTATAGAATTCAGTCTTCACCAAAGATTGAACTAGACACGTCACACTAGTTACTAGTGTCCAATGAAAATACCCACTATAGTCCTACAGGAAGTCAGTCGCGAGCCCGAATAGCTCAGTGGTAGCGTCTCTGACTGCAGCACTCACTGGAGGACGTGGGTTCGAATCTCAGAAGGTAATCAACTTTCACACACACATACACGTCTATTGCCCAACTGATTTCTCAGGGGATATAAAGCTGAATTAACACAATTATGCTGCTGTTGTGTATGTTGCTTTTTTTTCATTTGTAGAAGATTTCAGGTTGCTTTATTGTGAGAAAGCACGTGTTATGTGTACTATGTGGCGGTTTTTATCAAGGCATAAATTTAAAGAGGCAGCAAGATTGTTAACGCATGCAATTCATGCCTATCCGATGTCTCCGGCCTGGGTTTGGCGTGTAAGTTACTTTGTGTTTTTAACTTTAGATAACAACTTTTTTTTGTAGGTTGCATTTCATATATTTCAGTGTCTTAAAGATGATACAGGATTAAAGTCATTTAACAGGTGAGAGAGAGTTATAAAGGTTTGTACACATCTTTATTATTTTCAAAAAAATCCTGTTTCTGTCATGCTTATGTCTTTGTAATCTTTATTCATTTATTTATTTATTTATTTTATTCTCGTACTTTCCAGGTGGAACATAGGGGTTCAAGATAGGGACTTGAAGTATCGGTAGCACGGGTATTTGGTTTTAAAGGATGGGGGATGGGTGATTTGCTAGCCTCATGCCCCCAGTCTTCCCTATTTTTTACTAGTCTTATTACTCTGGCTTAGTGAGGTGAAGGTGTACGCCCGCTGGGGATCGAACCCTAGACCACGTGAGGCGCATGGGGGCGAGCATTGTACCGCTGTGCCACCGACGCACTTCTTCGTAATCTGAATGAAGTATATTAACAATGAATTGTGCACTCTTTCTTTCTATTTTTCAAATGTTCACTAACACTTGGCAATTGTGGGAAGTCATCAGAATGTAGTAGTAGGTTTTTTGATTTCTGGCTAAAGTTAGAATAAGGATTTATTGAATTTGTGAAACATAGTATGTGTAATTTTTCATGCATAGAGTTGTAAATCAATGGGAGTAGGGTGAGTGGGGATGATTATAATGATAACAAAATATTGATAAGGTTTATGCAGGTGGCGATAGGAATAACGAAGGGAGTACTATTTGTATATGTAGACAATTCAGTAAATACATTAGGTCAAATCTTAAAAGTTACGTAATACTAAAGGTAAGTGAAGTGAACAGATAATCGGAGTTTAAATAAATATCATAAACGTACGAAGGAGATGGAAAATAAGAAAGGGTGGGAGGGTTTTGAATAGATTTCACCTAGGCTAAGCAAGGGAGAGACAGCGGTAGAACGAACTTCTTTTGTATGCAAAGACTAGGATTGTTCTCTCGAATTGATTCCCATAGCTTCGGCTATGTGTAAAGGACGTATTCGAATTCCGTTCGAAATGCTCGATGGAATATGCGATAGATAACTTTGAAGGCACTATTTTTGTCCACTTGGTGACCGCTATCACAATCAAATGAGCAAAACTGGAACTTCTTATAGATTTTATTTGACCTTCTCAGAACCATGAAGGAAGATGCTCGTTAATGCGTTTGTTAAGCTGTCTCGTTGTTCGTCCTATATAGCCAGCTCTCTCCACAAGAGCAACCAAATTTATAGATACACATAGAAGAGGCACAGCTAGGTAGCTTATCTTTCACTTGAGCAATCATAATTGGTCGGCAGCTGGAAAATGACAATCAAAGGGTGGTGGCAGTATAAGTCCGTTTTATCGATCTCGATAATCTCAGATGTAAGACTTCGCTAGCCACGTCCCCATTAAATTGCATTTTCATGAACAGTTGTTTCTTTTTAACTGTTGTTAGTTTTCTTTATTGTACCTGGTATTCATGTGTCTCCTTACAAATCTACTAGGATAACCCATTTGAACCAACGTATTTTGGATGTATCCTAGCTCATTTTCTAGGGAACGATCTGTACAGATACGTCTTGCTACATTATTATTATTTGATCCATAAAATCACTGTCATTGGTTAAAAATTTTTATATATAAGTCTATGTAAATTACTTACTTTACTTTACTTCGGCTATCTCCTACGGGAGGATGAGCCGGCTTCATGAACCATGAAGTTTCATGGGAATTGGGTACGAGTGATGTCCCCAGCATCGCTCGGCCTTTTGTTTGAGAGTGCAGCTCTAGCCTTTACACAACCAAGTGTGACCTACAAGGCAGTAGGAGTGGAGTAGGGAGTCCACTATCCATTGGTAGCCGGTGACCGGAGTCCGGTTCATTCGCCTTTTTGAAAGGGGCCAGTCATCCAGGGCATCCAATAAGCCCTTTGTCCATACGTCTGCCGGTGAGCTTCATACGCCAGTCGTTGGAGGTTTGGAATCAGGGTTTAGCCATCTCCCCTAGACTGTCATCCAATGGACAGTCAACCAGGTGAAGAGCGCCGGGCATCCGCTTTTGCCCCCTCACTTCGGTGAAATAAACACCTCCGCCACGTGAAGGCAGTGAGTAGGACTTCCTCAGGAGAGGCTATGTAAGACGCCCGGTCATATGGGAGCATTTCAAGAGGTGTACGGAGGGGTGGCCAACCCGCAGCGCAAGACACCCACCCCCGACCGTCCTGAGGCTTTGGAGGCCATGTAAATTGGAGTAAAGCCTAAAGAAGATTTAATTGAAAACAATATTGTTCGCTTATTTGTCTTGTTTCTTGAATGTCAGATCATCTATATGCTAACTTTATCCGCCTACGCAAAGCCGTTGTTCTCATTTTTCTCACGACCAATATTGGGGACATAAACATTGACGTAAATTACTGTCCACCAATTTTGACTAACAGCCAGCTCTCACCACACTACTATTTGTTAGGCTAATAATTTCCACGTTGTTTTCCATTTTCACACCATGTCTGCATTCGTATTAGCAATTTAGGCCGTTATAAATTAGTAAACACAAAAATTCATAAACAGTTAATTCTTCTAATAGTGACTATCCCATTGACTTTCTTATCCAAACTTCCTGTTTATTCATGTTATTTCCAAGTTTTTCTTAATCCCTATTTACAATACCATATTTTCATATCCGAACTTCTTCTCTATTTTGTCATTTTATTATTTCTACATATTTAATCCCTGATTGCATAAACAATTATTCATCACATTAGTTATGATCCCCCTGGGTTTTTTTATCCAAATATCCTGTCTATTGTTGTTATTTCTACATTTCTAATCCCCAATTGCACAATCAGTGTCAATCTTCTCAGTAATTATGATGTTACTCTGTTTAAGCTTTATCCACCCCCTGTTTATTATGGGATTTTAATGCCTAATTGTAATTCTATTAATCTGACCCTTGACTGGAAATTAATATGGAACTTTCCTACCCATATATTATAAATACGCGAGTGTACAGCCTAATTGACGGTGACTTCGTCGAAAAGAAAATTTTCTTCGCTGCAACTGTCTTTTTATTCCCTATGATCAAATGTGTGCATTCCTTTACTATTCTTGATTTATTCGTTTTTCTTTCCTCCAACAATCATCGGTTCTCTTCATTATTTTATTCCTATACGTTCTGAGTGGGACATACGGCTACAAGCCTGAGCTGCCTTAAAGTTTCGGCAGTAGTGGTTTCTATTTCTACAGGATGTGGTTGCTAGCCTGTTAACACCAACCTTCTCTTCTTTACCGGCCTCTTACTATCAGCTTACTGAGGTTTAGGAATGAGTAGACAGGGAATCGAACCCCGGAATGGACCATGTGAGGTGTAGTAGTTGGCGAGCGTCCTACTGCTGAACCACTGACGCATTTTTCCTCATGGCGATTTGATTTATTTGATTTCATCGTAATAATAATGTAACAACAGAAGACAAGGGCCAGGCAACAGATCGTTTTATTACGGAAATCAACACGTATTTATATATATTTCATGTACATTATTGTAGCTTATTCAAGCAGACAAACAGTATTCTGATTGGTTGTTTCTTGCTCAAAGTTATTCTTTACTGCTTGTGTCTGGTTTCTCAAAGAGTTAAGCCATATATTTGCGAATCTTATTTACCCACTTTAAGTCTGTTGTGATTGGTTGTTGAATCCGTCTTGTTCATATTTTCTCACGGCCAATATTATTGACCTATACATTGACGTAAATTAATGTCTACCAATTGGCTAGCAGCCTGCTGTCACCACAATAATAATAATAATAATAATAATTGTGGTTTGGATCATTGCGTTCTTGTCTAGTGTTCAAATATCTTCATGAATTATCAGTTAACTTCTAAAGCTTTTTTATTTTTTTACTTTATTCGTAGGATTTTGGATATGTTTCTTTTAAGTGATGAAAATAATCGTGTACTAGAATATACTCTGTATGAGATGAGCAAAGGAAATCTGGGAAATATTCAATTTTGCCGCGCTAACAAACAGGTATGTTATATGTATAAATAATTAAGCTGCATTGTATTTGAAGTGTTGCGAATCTCTTGCAGATAGAGACGGCTTCTTTAACCTCCACCCATTTCTAATAGGCGCAGAACTTGCTGTGAGAAGCAGATAGACAGTCTGCCTAAGACTGGGTGTCATTAGCAAGGTCAGGTCAACATATAAATACACATGAAATTAGACAGTAGAGGTAACATTTCTTTGACATTAAGGTGCATCAGTGGACGGCTAGAGTAGGTTATTCATTGAGTGGTATCGAAGGACGTTTTTCTCAATGATCCAAATGATTCTTAAGTGTCACACTCGTAGTGTCACGCCAAAATCCTAATTTTAGGTGGAACACATTTTTTAGCTACGTCGTCAGTCTCTGTATTTCCTCTATGTAGTTTGCTGTTGACCTTGGCGAAGCACAGTAGATACCCCGTTCTCTCTCTATGAAGGTTTCTTTTAGTTGTTCAAGTTCATCATCAACACTATGTCCTCTCTACAAGTTCTCTGGACCTGTGTTGTTAGAGAGAACGGATTAGATTCCTTTTTCTATCTAAGGGGACAAAAAAGTTACTGAGTTGTTGTCCTGTCCACGTCGATTTTCTGTAAATGTGATCTTTTCAAAGACCCATCAACTCTTCTTGTGACTAACACATCAAGATATTTTGCTCTCAGTTTCTTTTTCTAGGGTGAACCGCATAGCAGGAAGGATGACTATCACTGAATACTGGATGTCATCTAAGTTGCAGTCCTCATCGCATATATAATGAATGTGTCATCTACGTATCTTTTGTAGAAGTTAAACCCCCTTTATAACTTGAGAGGTGATTTGACAACTACTTCGCTACCAACAATTATACATCTCATCCAACAGTTGTACGACAATGCTGCATACCAAGTAATCCACAACGGGAAACTTATTGAATCCTTCGAAATGAGGACAGGAGTAAGATCATCTGGCTGGCTGCCTACTATCGCCAATGATTTTCCTGATTGCAGTAGACTGGATAATGCGAAAGACAGCTGGCTTCGAGGAAACAGGCATAAAATGGACCCTCATGAAATACTTGAAGGATCTGGACTTCGCCGATGATATATGTCTGATTTCCCACAAACTGGAAGATATGCAAGTGAAAAGCAACAAGTTGGCGATAGAGGAAGAAGCATCAAAAATAGGACTTCAGGTGAACATAGGGAAAACAGATGTGGTGATAAAGATTCCTGGCCAACACAACCAACAGCAACAATAACAATAGACAACAATCAACCAGCATAAATGGGATGAACCTGAAAGAAACAACCCCCTTTACCTACCTGGGAAGCATCGTTTCAACTACAGGCGGACGGAACTGACAAGGATATCAAAGCAAGAATCGGAAAAGCAAGACAAGCTTTCACTACTCTCAAGTCTGTGTGAAGGAGATCAACAGCACTCAGTATGAAAATGCAAATAAAACCTGGATTTTCAACTCCAATGTGAAGTCAGTGCTACTATACGGGTGGATCAGAGACTTGGCGCGTCATAAAGAGCATCTCAAACAAACTACAGACCTTTATCAACAGCTGTCTTTGCTACTACTCAAGATCAGATGGCGAGCCAGAAAAGATCAGCAACAGGCATCTCTGGGAGCGAACCGACCCAGCAGGAACCGATTGTGCAACAAATAAGCAGGAAGAAATGGAGATTGATTGGATTGGCCATACTCAGAGGAAACCATCAAGTGACATCACTAGACAAGCCATTGCTCGAGTGGAACCCGGCCGAATGGAAAGCGGCGAGTTGGTCGTCAGTGTGAGGGTGACATGGAGTAGAGGAGATCATGTGAAGAGGAGATGAAAACACGTGGGCAGACTTGGAACCAGGTGAGAACTCTAGCAGAGAACCGAACGCAATGGAGATGCGCGGCTGAAACCCTATGTTCCTCTGGAAATTAAAGGAAATAATAATAACAATATCTCATAATCCTATACACCAATATTATCGCACTAGTATTTCCACTCAGTTTCAAACTTCGACGACGCATACAAGAAAACTGATTGTTATTGCCTATTGTAATTCATGTATGCTGTACAACTATGAGAATGAAATCATGGAAAAGGGAATTTTCTTCGCGGAATTACTTGTTTTTATGTCTGAATAGGGATTATTAATTTAATTGACATATATACTTGTTTACACATCTTCAATATTCAATTTTCCCAAGCGTTTATTTTAATAATGTAAATCTCTGTTTCTTCCAGTTTGTCCAAAAAAATAGATATGCAGCCAGTTATGCAACCTTGATAAGAGAGCCAGAGTTAGCACATATTCAGCGCCTACAACGACTCTATGAAGGTTATAGTTTTTACGGTCTGTGGCTAAAACAAGTCCATTCATTGGCTTCATCTGGTAAGTTTCGGGAAGTGCATCACATGTCCCTTTTTTGTCGTGAATAAGTGAGTAATGTATTGCATGGCTCACTGAATCTCTCTCTCTCTATATATATATATATTTATTCTCGACCTAATACAGCTGTGTAAGAGCTCATTGAGAGCTGTCATCTAAAGTGATGACAACCATTGGTGTCCGTTAGGGATGCCCGCTGTCCTCATCTCTTTTTCATTTCATCATAGATATTGCACAAATTGATTGAACCGTAAATGATTGACTTCAGCGACTCAGGGATTGACTTGTTACTACCAGGAAATAATCTCATTAACTTAGAATATGCAGATGATATTGTCCTCCTAAGTGAAGACGCTGACTGATGAAATGCAGAGTCTTGTGAACACCTTGACAAGCAGCAATCTTTGAATGTTTTTGGCATGTGATTTGCTTCTGTGAAATGTAACATGGTATGACGCTACAGAACTGGACCGGACTACATTGACTCACTCCTAGCATAAAGATAGGGAGTTAATTGGTTGATGAGCTGATTACCGACCACTTCACTTATTTGAGAATTTGCATCAGTCAACGCCAGTGGGTTGATCGTTGACAAAATCTCAGGACAGATACAGAAGGTTCGTTTGGCGTATGTCTGAGAACTTACGCCATCTCTGGCTTAGTAAACGTCGTATCGGGTTGGCGTGTGTACTGCCCAGCAGTCCGATCCATCCTCATCCTTTATGGCTGTGAGTGAGACCTGACCATTGAAAGTGGGAAACACGAAAAGGCTGGCTAGCTGTCTTTGATCATAGGTGTCTGCGTTCTGTCTTCCTTGGTAGGTGGTAGATTTAATAGGGTGAGTAATATTGAGGTTAGGCGTTTGGTGCTAGATTCTCTTTTCACTTGCTTTGTGTATTACATGGAGGGAAAGAGGCAACTGGAACTGCTGCAAATCTGTGCAAAGTTCTGCGTGGAAACCAGTTAGTCATGTCCTGTGGCGTCCACACGTGTTGTATGCCGTTCCTCTGGCAGAATTCCGGGGACACTTGTGTGGCGAATGAACTACAGTTGTCAGATGCAGTGCATCCTGATATACCGTGGCATGCGCAGATTTTTCCTAGAGGTGCTATTATTCGACTGCAGAAAAGTTGGGTAACCGGTATTACGTCAGGCCATTTTGAATAGGCGTCTATCAGAACTAAGTAGTAGGCATCATCTTTCGGAGCAGAAAAATCCACATGTAGTCAGAATCATGGTTGGGGTGGGCGCCATGATCGCACTGGTTCACAGCGCGGATTTCTGGCTGCGTCCTTGACAGTGGTTAACGACGTGTCTTGTATCAACATCCATAATTTGCCAGTATACATAACTTCTGGCAATAGATTTCATCCGTGCATTAGAGAACCACAAGGCAATGTCATCAGGGAGTATTTGTTTCCACTTCCGACGTGGCTAGTGGTCGCGCTTTGTCGTGAATGTCAGGAGTTGGAATTCATGGGCCATGGGATAGGGTTCCAGCAGCTTGGTGGTGGTCTACGAGCTCGCTTTGTCACCCTGAGTTCTCACCTCGGTGGGTCCGTACTGATGGAGAGTCCCGAGTTAGGCTGACGAAACAGCTGTCCAGTACTCCCTGTGGCTGGTTTTCTAATGGTTCTCTAACTGGTGTCAGTCCATGTTGAAGCCATGTGACCAATAGAACAAAGCTTTCTCAAAGGTTGTAGATATCTTTTGTCAGTAAGTGCTGAAAAAAATGGGAGATTCAAATAAGGCTTTCGTAGGGGTCCACACTTTATAACATTATTATATTATGGTGAAACCTGGCTGCTAGCCAAGTCGATAGACAGTAATTTACGTCAACGTTTACGTCCCCAATATTAGTCATGAGAAAAATAAGAACAAAGACTTATTCAACAACCAATCACAGCAGAATGTGCGTAAGCGGATACAGTTAACATATAGATGATCTGACATTCAGGAAACAGCCACATAGAGATGAAAGGTTAAATTTTAGAGAAACCACCAATCAGAAGACTGTTTGTTTGCTTACAATAATCTATAATAATGTACATGAAAATCTATAAATATGTATTGATTTCGTAAATGAACGATCTGTTTCCTGGCCCTTGTTTTCTGTCGTTACAGTATCACTGGAAATATCTTATTGGTTGAAATATGCGTCATTATTCAAAGTATACTGATATTTTTTTACTGTACTTTATTTTGTACTTAGATGATACAGATGAAAGTCGTTCACTAGTCGATGATTTAGCCGAGAAAGCATATCATCGACTTCAAGAGGTTGAAGCGCTTGTGTCTGAAGGTCATTTGTGCGATACGTTTGTTCGAGCTCTTGTTGAGGTAAAATGTTTCACTTTTTTCTTCTTCTGATAATCCATTTGATCCATTTGTAGATAAAGAGATTGAGAGATAAACCAACGTGATAGTAGATCGTTGTTTTTAAGATTCTTTTTTATTGTTTATTATTTCATGTAGAAAACACTATCTCTGGTCGTGTATGTTATGTGCGATTGATTGGATTGATATTGCCTGATGTACAGGATGTGCCGCAGCTGTGAAGTGTAGGACGCAGTGAACTGTGGAACACAATATCCTTTGATTATACTGCTCGTATTCATTCCTTGCCTTCTGAGTGGGAATGTTGGGCTGCAGTGGCATGTTCTTTTATAGCATTCGGTTCCCTGGCATAACTTTTTTAACTAGCTCCACGACAACCTGGAAGCTTCCATTTCTTCTTCATATGATCTCTTCATATTACTCTGAGACACCCGTAGCCTGTCGCTTCCATTCGATGGTTTTCCCTGTGTGTTTGTGTGCGTGTCTAATCCATTTCCTTCTGCATATCTTTTGGGCAATAGTTTCGTCGTGGTTGGTTTACCGCTGGAGTTCCTTGTTGCTAGCTTAGTCTTTCCAGCTATTTAGTTTTCAGTATGTAGTGAAAGCAGCAGGTCAGCCGAATTAAGATTATGCATAGACAGTGTGCGTCGACTGAGAAGCAGTTATGAGGCTCGCCGACCATACATAGGGTCCGGGTTCGATCCTCAGTCGGCGCACTCTTAAACCTCTCACTAAGTCGCTAGTAAGTCTACTGGTAAAGAAGGAAGTTTGGCCTAAATGAGACTAGCAACGGCATCCCGTAAAGATGAAAACCATTGCTACTGAAACTTCAAAGCTCTAGTCTAGCTTGAAGTCCTATGTCCCACCTGACGAAACAAAAAGGAATAAAATAATTTAAATAATCCAGAATAGAGTTATAGTCTACCACAGTGTCCAAGTTTTATCCTTACATATTAAGACTAAAATAACTTTTTTTATAATTCTCTTTTTATAACTAATAGATATTAAAATATTTCAATGAGCATACACGTGCATATGATTTACTATTGGAGTATGCTGAAAAAGTACCCGAGAATCCAAATACTCTGAGATATTTATGTGAATGGCATCAACTAAGACAACAGTCGACAACAGATATGATACACTCGTCCATTGTTCTGTCACCAAATCATTCGCTTAGTAATAATACACACAATAATGATTCCTCTGCTTACTGTACAGATGAATTCAGTGATGGAATCGATACTGATATCGAAAAAAAAGTTCTCCGACCTGAATCAAACAGTCCAAACAAGAAGTCGGTAAAGGGAAGCATGAGAAGTTCTAAAATTTGTTTAAAATATCGTATAGCATTTTGTCGACGTGTCCTGCCTGAACCAGCACCTTCGCCTCCTGAGAATTATGCAAGTATGACGAAAAAAGAGGTAAAAGGTCTACTGAGAAGAAATCATCCTCACTTACAGACTATAATCACCTGTTTAAAACGAGGTTAGTTAATCGGATCTTTTTCCCGACTCCCCTCTGTTGTTTTCATAAATTTATGTCCATTAAAAATCATCAATTTGCAATTAATACTGTTCTCTAAGCTGGTTGGTTTAGTTGTGGAGCTTTCGTCGTCCCCCTTCTAGACAACATCCCCTTTCAGCGCAATATTTAGCATAAAGTGAAATGATTTAAATTTTTCATGAGAGTGATATAATTGATATAGATATAGCACACAAGCCAGTCAAATCGCTTAATTCGACATTATGCAAACCGAAAGATCCAACAAAAAAGGGAGATAAGATTAATGCCATTTACAAAATAACTTGTATGAACTGTAACAGGCATTACATCGGTGGTCGAAGTGGGCGTCCCCTTCGAATTAGAATCCAAGAACACAAATCAGCCGTGAAAAGCCATGATATATATTCTTTCATATCAATGCACATAGACGACTATGAACATAAATTTGATTAGGATAATGTCGAAATCTTAGACAGAGAAACACCAAAAGTGCCAGGGAATTCCTAGACGCCTGGTACTCAAACTTATATGCAATTAACAAACACGTTAATATAGACGAAATATACCAACTAATAAAAAGTAAATCATGTGACGAGAAAGTTTAAAATCCAAGTCAATAGAAAATGGTCAATACATATGTAAAGATGGTTACCGGGAGACGCAATTCTATCTATCACTCATGAAGAAATTTAAATCATTTCACTTTATGCTAAATATTGCCCTGAAAGGGGATGTTGTCTGGAAGGGGGACGACAAAAGCTCCACAACTTAACCAACCAGTTCAGAGAACACTATTAATTGCGAATCATCCACCTGAGCTACAAGTCTTCTGTAATGTTTCAAAAATCATCAATATAAGAACAAGACAGTTCAGTGAAGAGGTCTCTTTGTTTTGGAGAGCGAATTCATTCACTTAGTTGCACAATCGCAATTACATGTAATTATTTGTGTGTGTGTACAGTAGGTTTGTTTGTCAGATATGAAGGAAATTACGTCACCGACCGAAATATTTCAAAAAATAAAATGTTGATGATTAGTCAAATTGTAATTGAGAGGGGTGAAGATTAATAAGTCTTGAGTAGAGTTGCGTAATACGAAGGAGGATCCCCAGAAAAATAGAAGGTTAATATAAAAGAGCGTGGAGACAAGTATCCAAAATATAAATTATGTAATAGTTCGAAAGAGTAAATAAATGGTTGGTTAAGAAAAAGATGTTGCCAAAGGTATATTTCATTAATCTTACCAGTTTTCTCGACCGACAGCTGCTACCTTGACGTGGTGGTCGCCCGGCTTGCACATCGCGATGACCCATCAAGCTACACTGGCTGGAACTCTTTCCAGCGATCCAGTCGTCTATCCTGGGAGCTAATTATAGTGCCATTTTTCTCCGAGATTGTTTCACTAATGATTTGTCTTCTCCCACCCGTTTCCCTGATGAGTCTAAATAGTTGCCTGGTGTTGCCTATCGTCGAAGCTTTTTCCATCTCTTTCGCTTTTGTCACTCACCACTGTTCACGGTCCTTGCGGAGACTATTCGTAAGTTTCCTTTTGTGCAGCTTTCGCTCCTCATTGAATTTGGAGTTCGCCGGAATAAGTCTTCTGGCATCTATCAGTTCGGATGAGGTGGTGGAGATCCAGTGGTTTTTTCTCACCTTTGGATTTACCTTATTCACTGCTTTTACAGCTGTATCTATGGCTGCCTGGATATTCTTCCAAGCTTCTTCAGGGTGAGCACAGCTGTCGAACACAGATATTTGTTTAGCTAGTTCTTCCTCAAATACGGATTTAGTTTCCTGATCGAGCTGGGGACGTGATGGTTTTACCGCCAGCTGTTTCCTACGTCCGTTCAGTCGTAAGCACACCCGGGCGCGGACCAGTGCATGGTCGGTATCTACATACGTGTTCCAGAAGGAGCGACAATCTCCTACCGACCCACGCCAACGATAGCTTATTGCTATGTGGTCTATTTGTGTCCATCGTTGGTTTAATGAAGGGGGTCTCCAAGTCAAACAGTGTCTCTCCTTGTGTTTGAAGTTAGTGCTTACAAGAAACAAATGATTATCTGATAATCTGAACCGTTGTCGGTTCGCTGGCACGGAACTCCATAGGTGCCACCGACATCCTTCTCAGATTGACACAATTTCCCTACTTGAGCGTTAAAGTCACCAGCTAGAACGACTATATCTGAGCGTTTAGCCTTTCTCACCAAACTAGACAGCTTTTGGTAGAACTCATCCTTCGTTTTATCCGAACTGCAGTCAGTGGGGGCATAGGCGGAGATTACGAAAAGGCATCGGCGAGTAGTGCAGTCCTTCCTCCTTCTTACTGACCCGTTCAGACGGATAGCACACATTCGGCTATCTGTCTGTCTGTCTGTCTGGATTCAACATAGAACTTGGCACCGAAGTGCAGCAGTTCGAGTTGCCACCTTCTAAATAGCACACAGAGGTAGACAAGAAGATGAGTGAAGAGAATTAATAGAGTTTGACAAATATAAGAGTGAAACAGAATGGGTAATGGTAGAAAGGAATATGAAAGATTACAGAGATTGAATACATCTGCGCTGGCCATTGACAACGATTTTGAGCCATGTCACCTATTGTCTCCAGCCATTGATTCCTAGAGTCCCGAGGGCCCCAACCCGGGAGTCTGCATCTCCCTACCTGACTCAGTTTAACTGTCAAGGATTTCATGGATTGATGAGGCCATGTTTTTGTTTGGCCACCACTGGCTCTTTTCCAACCTGAACCTATATCAGCTAACAATGCCCGTCGGGGGAGGCGGTGGTTAGGCATGCGCACCACGTGACCTAGCCATCTTAGTCTATGTAACTTTATAACCTCGTCGATTGATTTTCCCTCTTTGCCCAACACTCTACGCCTAACGTCAACATTACTTATCTTGCGAAACCACCTAACGTGAGACAGAGATCGCAGACATCTATGATCGAAAGCAGTCAACCTTTTCATGTCTTCAACGCGTATTGGCCATGTTTCAGAGCAGAGCCATAGAGAAGGACGGAGCGAACTGCTGAGCAGTACACACGTCCCTTGGTTGATAACCGGATGTCACGCCTACGCCAGAGATGGTGTAAGTCAGCGAAAGCAGCTCGAGCTTTTCGGATCCGTGCTGAGATTTCATCGCCAATCAGTCCGTTGGTGCTAATACAACTTCCCAAGTAGGTGAAGTGGTCAACATGTTCTATCACTTCACTCCCTATCACTAAGTTAGGTGTTGACGTCGTCCAGTCTTGTAGCAGCATCTTACATTTTGCAGGGGCGAATCGCATGCCAAACATACGAAGATTGCTGCTCAAGGTGTTCAGAAGACTCTGCATTTTGTCAGCATCCTCCCCTAACAGGACTATGTCATCTGCATATTCTAAGTCCATTAGATTATCCCTGGTAACAAGTCGATTCCTAAGTCACTACGTTCAGTTAAGGATACTTCCATTAGCATATCTATGATGAAGTTAAACAGAAATGGGATCCAGTCAAGTAATATCTTTTCTGCCCTAGTACTCAAAGCTATCCCTACACCAGCTAATCCTCGTGAACTAGCTGTGGCATCTCCTGACACCCTCAAGGTGAATTTTGCAGATTCAACCTGTTGGCCAGGTGGGGTTAGGTGAATAACCACACTTGGGCCTTGTATGCGTGTTTCTGAAACACAACATACACCAATTGCTCGGGATGCTAGGGTCTTAGCTAGTGATGCTTGTTGTCCTATTTGGCAAAGTGTCCTAACATTAAGAGCTCCTATATGAAATTGGTGGCGTGGCTTTAGGAGGCTGTCGGTGATGGTTTCTTGGCTTCCATCGTTTTTAGTGGACGCAGAGTGGAGAGGAAGTGAAGAGCTATCAAGTAGAGGAGTTGCATCAGTGGAAGGAAGGCAAGATGATAGAGATGAAGATGAAAACAAAGATGAGTGAGTAATAGAGAGGTTTCGCGTGCGTTGTGGATTGTGAGGGCGATTGTTACTTCCCGGCTGCCCACACCGTGGAAGTTGGTTGCGTGACCGCAGAGCCCAGGGGACAACTGCTTGGGGCCGGTCACACGCGGCCTGCTTTTGTTTGTTCTTTATTGTTTGGTGTGTCTCAGTAGCATATTTACCACTCCCGCCCTGTGACACGGCAGCAGGAAGCGCGGTCGTTGTTAATCCGGGCCACGGCCGATCCGGCATGAAATTTTGTAATTTTGTATTGGACATGATGTTGGATTGGGTAGCTGCTTTTTGTCTAACCGCTATCCAAACAACCTGCCTGGTGGCGGTCAAACAAAAACTTGTCACCAGTCAATGAAATTCATAACAGTTAGTCTAAGCCACGTAGGAAGGTGTTGACTTCCAGGCTGGGGTCCTCGGAACGGTAAAAATCTATGGTTGGAAACAATTGGTGATATGGCTCAAAATCGTTCTCAGTGGTCCAGATGCATCCACTCCTTGTAACTTATGATTTCCAATGAAACTGTTTTGTTCTTCGTTATTACTCCTCCTTTGTCTCACACCTCTGCTCACTGTTTCTATTATGCTTTTCTTGTACTTTCTTCTCTTGCTTTTGCTCTAGCACACAAATGTGCTAGATGGAGGGAGTGTGGCGACTTGAACTGGTGCACATTTGTGCAAAGTTCTATGTCAAAAACAGACAGACAGAGTGGCTGGAAGTAATGTTCCTGCAGGTCCTACCACGCCAGGAAGGTTGTTAGGATAGCGATAAGATTAAAAGCAGTTACCGGCATAGTGGAAGAATCTTCTTTGCATTATTCTGGGTGTCTGTGGGCGAAGTCGTACTGCTGGGGAACAGGGATGTAACAGCCGCAGTAAGGTGTTTCCCTCAGATGACCAGCATGCCAGCCAGCTATGCTGTCTCTCTACTCCGGAGAGAGGGGGGCTAGAAAAGGTCGACCCCGAAAGTTGTACATCCCGACTAACCCTACGGTGGTCCGTAACCGGCGATAAGTTTATTATTGCGGAACCAAACCAAGGAACCAGTTCATACAGGCCATGTGTGACCGGCCTGGATCAAGCAGTTGTCCCCTGGGCTCTGCGGTCACGCGATACTAACCTTGTTTTTGTTTCAGGTACCCAAAGAATCAATCAACTTCCACGGTGGTGTTGGCAGCCGGGAAGTAACAACCGCCCACACACTTCCAAAAGCACACGAAGCCTTCCTGAGCATCATTTTCCTCTATCCACATCACCTGCATCATCTTATTCCCCTACTACAGTTAGTACTATTCTCCAGGTTAGTGAGGCACCTTAACTTCACTCTGTGACCGCAAATAACGATGAGAGTCATAGAAACACCCCAGAGAGCTTTTTACAACTACGTCACCAACTTCATATAGGAGCATTTAACGTCAGGACTCTCTGCCAAATCGGACAACATGCATCACTATCAAGAACTCTGGCATCTTGAGACATAGATGCATGTTGTGTTTCGGAGACACGCATACAAGACCTGAGTGTGGTCATCCACTTAACCCCACCCGGGCAACAAGGTGAATCTCTGAAGTTCACTTTAAGGGTGTCAAAAAGACCCCTCAGCTAGCTCACGAGGACTCGCAGGTGTCGGGGTAGCACTGAGTGTTAGGGCGGAAAAATCACTTCTCGACTGGATCCCAGTAGATAGTCATATGTGTGTATATGTGAATTTAAATGTATTTGTTGTCAGTAATTTTTTTCACTATTTTATTATAGAACTTCAATATTTTTTCCTGGTTAATTTCTGTTTTTTTTCTTTTCCCATATATATTTATATATATGCATCATTTAGGAAAATATTCAGATGCTTTAGATTTGTCATTTTTATTACTCGATCATCCATCTTGGGCTGTTTACTGTGAACCTTGGCGTCTCTTACGCAAGAGTATATTGTGTATTGGCAAAAGCAAGTGAGTGTATAAATAGTATTTTAAAACACTTGGTTCCCTTTATGAATTTAGATAAAGTAATAAGAAGACGTAATTTGTCTGATTCGTGTTGTAATATATTTGCGCGCAACACATTTCAAACAATCTCCTTCCTTTCCTTTACTTCGGCTATCTCCTACGGGAGGATGAGCCGGCTTCATGAACGTCTCGAATCATCGCTGCCCAGGCGCGGCGATCTGATGCAAGGCTTTACGACAGGGATATCCGATTCTTGTTCCACATACGGAGTCCGTAGACGGTTTGTAGCCCCAAGCACTCCGTATCAGCCTTGACTGTACCAAGCCATGTCTTCAGCTGTCCACCCCTATGACATCGCCAAGATGGTAATGGTGAGGGATTTAGAACTGATTTGACCAGATCGTCATCTGGTCGGCGCAGAACATGGCCAAACCACCGAAGGCGGCGTTGTTGGACCAGTACTGGAATTTGGTTGATGTTGTAGCAACGACGACGCACTTCTTCGTCACCCAGTGAGTGATGCAGTCAGAGACGTTACTACTGAGCTATTTGGACACGACTAACGTGTAGGATGTAGGGTATTTTTGATTGGACACTAATCAGTGACTAGCGTATGATGTGTCTAGTCCAATCTTTAGTGCAGATTGAATTCTGTCAGTGAAGTTTGCAATGTGGCCACCATTCTAAGTAGCTGTCCTTGCTGACTGGTGAGTTCCAACTAACACGAAACCTAGGTCAAACAAGGCTTCTTGCCGATTGCCTCCAACCATCTATCGTCAAAAATTCAAAGTGCACCGTGATGGGGAACTACCTAGAATGGTAGTGATATATATCCATATAATATGTGTGTTTTGTTTGACAGTCTGTATATTTGCTATGTATATATGGATCGATATTCCATTATAATTAGCCAATCATGTTAAGACTGTCTATTGATTTGTTCATTTTGAATATTCGCTCACACACTTGTTCGGACATTCTTATATTTTGCTCTCACACTCTTGTGTGACTTTGATTCTCCTGGTGTTTTGGAAAATAGAAGTATCATCGCAAACCTAGTGGTCTTCTGATTTCCGTCTTTCTTGCGTTAGGACTATTAAATTCTCGACCAGTACATAACAGGTAGTCACATTGCAAACCTGCACTAAACAAAGGACTAGACAAATCACACTAGTTACTAGTGTCCAATGAATAATATGATCTGTATTGCGAAGAAAAAACGTTATTGTTGTTTTTACGAGTTTGACCACGGATTGATATCAATTAAAGAACCATTGAAAACCAGCATTGGAGTATTGGACAGCTGTTCCATCAGCCTAGTTTGGGAATTATCGGCAGTACTCCAGTGCTGGTTTTCAATAGTTCTCTAACTGATATCGATCCGTGGTCAAACTAGTATAAATCGGTCTAATCATTACAAGCCAACTCTTGAAAAGTTATTGTTGTTGGCACAGTTAAATCTTACTTCTGTGCCTAACTCAGGTGATCAGTTGGCGCTAGTGTGTCATATCTGGAGGTGTGTCGTAGTGAAATTAGCCAACAAGACTATTGACACTCCGTTACTACAAATTTATTTAGAGTTAAGTGCTGAACAGTTCCGAGTGTAACATAGAGCTTCAACAACTCTTCTCCGATTCGTCCTATCTTCTACCGTCTTCTTCAGTTTGGACCACATCGTCTCCTCCAAGTCGACCTACTCGTCTCTTTCCATTAGGATTTCACTCCAGGACGCGTGGCGCGCCATGTCATTCGACGGTCTCTCCTCAATGTATGTCCGTTTAGTCCAACTCCATTTTCTCCTACATATTTGTTCAGCGATCGGCTCTTGGTTGACTAGCCTAGCCTTCTAGCCGGTACCAAGCCCGGGTAAAGAGGGAGGGTTGAGCGTATGGCTAGCGATAGCAACCCGACACCACTTAACGTAACCCCTAGAGAAACTTCAACACACAAAAAATATATTGAGACAAGACTTATGAGCGAACAGTATTGTTGTTTTCAATTAGATCTTCTTCAGGCTTTACTCTAATTTACATAGATATATCAGAGCTTTTAGGGCGAACAACGAGACAGCTTAACAAACGCATTAATGAGCATCTTCCTTCATGGTTCTGAAAAGGTCAAATAAAATCTATAAGAAGTTCCAGTTTTGCTCATTTGATTGTGATAGCGGTCACCAAGTGGACAAAAATAGTGCTTTCAAAGTTATCTATCGCATTCCAGCCTTCGAGACTTTCGAACGGAATTCGAACCCGGCTTTTACACATAGCCGAAGCTATGGGAATTAATTCGAGAGAACAATCCTAGTCTTTGCATACAAAAGAAGTTCGTACTACCGCTGTCTCTCCCTTGCTTAGCCTAGGTGAATTCTATTCAAAACCCTCTCAACCTTTCTTATTTTCCATCTCCTTCGTATTTTTATGATATTTATTTAAACTCTGATTATCTGTCCACTTCACTTACCTTTAGTATTACGTAACTTTTAAGGTCTGACCTAATTTATTTATTGAATTGTCTACATATACACATATCACTCACTACCTTTGTTATTCTTATCGCCACCTGCATAAACCTTATTATCAATATTTTGTTGTCATTATAATCATCGTTATTAACTAGGTTAAAAACATTTACCACATTAGTATTATTTGATCTACAGAAATCACCGTCATTGGCAAAAAATGTTTATATCTAAATCTATGTATACCGTATACAAAGGCAAGTCCTCCTCTGCTGTGCTCACTGAAGCTGGTGTCTTCCAAGGTGCTGTACTCTCCCCACTTCTCCTTTCTTTCTTGCTACATGACTTATCATCTTCAAATGACATTAATTTTGTTAAATATGCTGACGATCTGACTGTATTTTTGCCTGTCAAATGTCAAAGTGACTGCTCTAAACTAAATGGTTTTTTATCAGAAGTCTGTCAATGGTCCAAGGAAAACGGTCTTACCTTATTATTATTTATTATTGTGTCCTTTAGTTCCTAGAGGAACATAGGGCTTCAGCTGTGCACCTCCATTGACTTCGGTTTTCTGACAACTTTTTCACCCTGCTCCAGGTCTGTCCACATGCTTTCATCTCCTCCTCGCATGACCTCCTCCAAGTCACCCTTGGACGACCAACTCGCCGCCCCCCTTTCGGGTTCCACTCGAGGGCTTGTCTAGTGATGTCACTTGATGGTTTCCTCAGCGTATGGCCAATCCACCTCCATTTCTTTCTGCCTATTTGTTTCACAATCGGTTCTGATTGGTTCGCTCCCAGAGATCCCTGTTGCTGATCTTTTCTGGCCATCTGATCTTGAGTATTGAGCGGAGACAGTTGTTAATGAAGGTTTGAAGTTTGTTTGAGATGCTCTTTATGACTCGCCAAGTCTCTGATCCGTATAGTAGCACTGACTTCACATTGGAGTTGAAAATCCGGATCTTATTTTTGATGCTGATTGCTGTTGACCTCCACACAGATTTGAGAGTAGTGAAAGCTTGTCTTGCTTTTCCGATTCTGGCTTTGATGTCCTCGTCAGTTCCGCCTGTAGTTGAGACGATGCTTCCCAGGTAGGTGAAGGAGGTTGTTTTTTTCAGGTTCTTCCCTCCAAATGCCTAACAGTCAATTTCACCTTTAGGCACAAAACTGACATAAACAAACTGGTTACCACTCACGAGGTGTGCAACATAGATGGATAGCACTGAAATACAAACCAAGTTGGAAATTAAACAACTAGGCGTCATTCTATTTGCTGATCTTTCCTGGTCGTCTCATCATATCTTGATGATTTCTAAGAAAATATTCCGTCTTATCTTCTACATCAAGAAGTCAAGACATTCTGGTATAACCCAACCCTTACTCCTACGATTCGTTAACTCTTGCATCCTGCCTATTATTCTCTATTGTTCCCCTTAGTTTTTCCATGGCTGGCTACTGAAGAAGGACTATATCTTATTACGTAGGATATTAAAGGTTGTCAGAAGGGTAAGCAATGTGCCACTTAACCAGCTTGTTTATATTCTGGTTGACAGGCACTCGGACTCAGGTGAAAAATGGGCTAAATCAATCCATTCTATCTGACTCACACCACTCTCTTCATTCACAGTTGTCTCCTTGTATCTCATCAGGCAAAACCAGAAGCCTGTATAGAAAACTATATGCTCGCAATATGAAGTACAAAAGCGCAACTCAACCATACCCTACATGGCTCGTGTTCTGTGCAATAAAGAAAGCATTAGGCGTGAAACTTATTAAATAGTCAGTAGAACAACTAGATCTCGTCATTCCAACTCATATCTTTTATAGGTACAACGTTTTCTGTCTTTCTTTTTCTCTGTTATGTGCTCCTTTGTTTCTTTCTTCTGCTTACGCCAGGCAGTAAATATGCTAGTATCTACTTTTCTAACACCTTCAAACACTGTTTCAATTATGGCTTTGCTACCGACATGCCAATATGGTGTTGTCATAATGAACTGAAATTTCTTTAATCTATGTAGAATTTTATTTATTGTTAATGTACAAACTGGATGCAATATACTGTAGTAAAATGCTGAGAATTTCATTCTGTATTACAAGTACTATTTTGGAATAAAGCAAATTATTATTATCATTATTAAAAATTAGAGTAAAGCGTGAAGATCTAATTGAAAGGACAATATTGTTCGCTTATATGTCTTGTTTTAATATTAAAAGTGGGAATATTTAAAGACATATTAAGAATAGTGTTAGGTTTTATTTCTGTCAGTTAGAGTTTACTTACACGCATACTGATTGGTTGTTGTTGATTCTCGCTTGTTTTTTTTCATCAGTCATCAAGTTCTACATGCCTGGTCTATCCGAAAAACTTATTGGAATCAGCTGCATTTCTCCATGTCAAATTTATCAGCTATTGGAAAGTCTATGAACACTATGCTAAATAAACTTGATATTGTCAATTCGGTGAAAAGACAACCGCATTCCGAAAATCCTTTAGGCGTGGAAATGACGGTTGTCACAAATTATAAACCAATGGTTTCCCAAGAGATCTCCAGTCCAAGCTCAAATTCCTAAGATATACATGTATATATCATATCCAGATGAAGATTTTTTTCAATTTAAAAGATTATTACTGTTATGATTTGACTTTTTTTTACGTATGTTCATGAGTTAGTTTATTTTTTTTGTCATAAAATTGAGACAGAAATTACAAGAGATGTTCACGATGTTTGTTTTTTCTGCGAATGTCATACTGATCCACAGGTAATGGGAGAAGATTGGGCACTGGGGGAAACCGACATTTATTAAGAAAATACACACATCGTATCTATATGCATTATTAGCCATGGTGAAGTTCGACTAGGTCAGGTGGGGGGGGGGTAAATTGTTCTGATTGGCTGGCAGTTGACACAAGGCTAAGCAAGTTGTCCAATGAAAATATTCTATGTTGTCAACGTAAACTAAATATCCAGGTATGAGGAACCATTGGCTTGAAGTATTAATTTCAATTTTGACCGCTTCTAAATCAATCTGCATCACGCTACCCATAATAATGATAATAATAATAATAATTAACTGGCTTTATTCCGAAAAACAGTACTTATAATACAGCATGGAATTTTCAGAATTTGTCACAATATTGCATCTGATTTACTCAAAAGGTAAATAAAATTAACCTCATGGATTTGTCCACATTCGCAGTAGGAATAATTTCAAAAATGTCCAAAGTATAAAATGAGTATAAGGATTATAATCATAATAATAATAAGTATTATTATTTCCTTTAATTCCTAGAGGAAAATAGGGCTTCAGCCAAACGTCTCCATTGCGTTCGGTTCTCTGCTAGAGTTTTCACCTGGCTCCACGTCTGCCCAAATGCTTTGATCTCCTCTTCAAATGACCTCATCTATGTCACCCCACCCTCGCACTGATGACCAACTCGCGGCTTCCCTTTCGGGTTCCACTCGAGCGATGGTTTGGGGCGTGGTGTCACTCACATGATGGTTTTCTCAAAGTTTGGCCAATCCACCTCCATTTGTTCCTGCAGATTTGTTGCACAACCAGTTCCTGGTTGGTTCGCCCCCAGAGATCTCTGTTGCTGATCTTGAGTAGTATTGAGCGGAGACAGATAATGATGAAAGTGTCTAGTTTGTCCGAAGTGCCCTTCGTAACGCGGCATCAAGTCTCTGATACATCCGTATAATAGCACTGACTTCGCATTGGAGTTGAAAATCCGGATCTTACTTTCCATGCTGAGAGCTGTTGATCTCCACACAAACTTGGAGTAATGAATGCTTCTCTTGCTTTTCCGATACTCACTTTGATATTCACTTCAGTTCCATCCACCTGCAATTGAAACGACACTTTCCAGATAGGTAGGTACAGGAGGTTTCTTCTTTCAGATTCCTCTCATTTATGCTGATTGTTGTTGTTACTGTTGGCCAGGAATCTTCATCACCTACGTCTGTTTCCTCTATGTTCACCTGAAGTCCTATCTTTGATGCTTTGTGGGAAATCAGACATATATCATCGGCGAAGTCCAGATCCTCCAATTTTTATTTGTGTAATGAGTAAAATGAGTATAAGCACTAATAATACTAATAGTAGTAATAGTGTAATAATAAAAACAGTGAGTTTGTTTTAAACAATATTGTTGACACAGTATGAAAGTTTTCATATGTTATAGATTATTGAATCTAACATTCTCTTGATATAGTAGCATGGTGAAGGGAAAAAACACAAAACCATAATAATTATTACACAGCTTAAATGATTTTTACACTCATGAAGAAATAAACAAAAAAATGAGAAGACTATAAGTGTAAGAAGAATATTAACACTGAAGCTTTATGAGATATAAAGGAAGAAAAAACTGCTTATTTACTAGTGGAAGGTTTGTTTGTGCCTGCCACTGTTTTTGTCACATAAAATTACAGTATCGTGGAATTTTCCTACTTAGACGTGCGCGTATAAAGTCTTTTGAAATGACTTCTTGTTTTACCTGAGGAGACACAAGGTGAAAGCTGAGAGTAAGGTGGATGCTCACAGTGTGACAAAATTCGTTTAGCAAATTTGTTGATGAAATCAATTGCCTATGTACGGCCCAATGGGGTACCACTCGTCCTACTGATAGTCTTCAGAGTTCTACGAAGTATGACATAGTCTTTTTTAAGCAATCCAGGAAAGAATAAGCGTGAACAATAAAGAAGAATAGGTAAGATGCAAGAGTTGGCAACCTGTAAAAACAGGGGTTGAGTTATGCCCGAGTGCCTTAACTTCTTAATGTAAAAAGTCAGACGGAATATTTTTTTTTAGAAACGACTAAGACGTGAGAACACCAGGAGTGAAGAATTAGTCCAAGATACTTAACGTCAGACTTGATTTCTATATCAGTGTCATCAATTTTACAACGGTCATTGGAATTAACAGCTTCATTTAACTTTCATTTACATCGGAAATTGAAATTAACAGTTTGACATTTGGAAGGATTTAGGTTAAGACCCTTTGCTGACTCCTGATAGAAGACTGTTCATTTTAGTACAGTCTAGCTACCAAAGATAGGAATAGACACATCACACGCTAGTCACTCACTGACTAGTGTCCAATCAAAGTTATCTGTTTTTGGCTAACAACCTAAAGGTCCTCTGAAAGAGCACTGGCAACGAATCCCTAACTGGAATAAAGCGACTGACCCAGGTACGTGAAGAAAATTAAGCGCACAACAAATTTATTTTGCAAAATGAAATCTATACGTGAATCGAGTTCAAAAAACATAAACAGAAACAATGAGACACAACTGTCTAAAGCACTGTACTTTTGAAATTATATTATGGTGAGAACTGTCTGCAAGTCGAAAGTGTAGACAACAATTTACGTCAATGTTTACGCCCGAATCCGGATCATGAGAAAAAACAAGAAGAAAGCCTAACCTTGAGGAGCTCATCGACCAGTCACAGCAGATTTAACGTGTGCAAATAGGATTCGCAGACATATGGCTCAACTTTCTCAGAAACGGCCACAGAATAACCTTCAGCAAGAAAACAAGCAATCAAAAGACGTCGCTTCTCTGCTAACACTAACGCTAATAATAATGTAGATAAAAATCCACAGATATCTCTTGATTTTCTCAATCGATGATCCGTTTCCTGGCCCATGCCTCCTGTCGTTACAATATATCTGCTCATGGAAGACTGCGTCAGCGGCGCAAAGCTAGAATGCTCGCCAGCCACGCCTCAGGTGGTTTGGGGTTCAGTCCCCGGCCGATGCATTCCTTTACCTCGCAAAGCCAGTAAAAAGACTGGTAAAGACGGAAGGTTGAGCATGAGGCTACAACAGCCCCATCCTGTAAAAATAAAGCCACTGGCACCGAAACTTCAGAGCTCTCGGTTGAAACCCTTTTTTCCACTGGGAAAGCAGAAGGAATAAAAAAAGCATGGAAGATATTATTTGATGAAGAGAAAACAGTTTATGTACAGAATTTTTGCGTTTACTGTCAGCAGGAGGCAAGCAAGCACCTTTGAGAATTAGTTCACAGGTTTCTCACAAACAGCTTGAAGAAAAACTCGTTTTACACAAAGTCCTTTAGCTGCATTTTTAGTTTCTTTATGAACCCATTGAAGTCGAATTATTGATAGACCAGCATTTGAAAATAGGCTGGTTAATTCCTCTTCTGTAAAAAAGTAGGATAGTGTTCCATCTTGCCTGACATAGGATGGTCTGTCGGCGTACAGTCGAGATTTTCTTCCAAACCTTAACTGAGCATGATCATATTGTCCATAGTCACGAAATAGCAGGCGACCACCAGGTGATAGAACACTAAAATGCAAAAACAGTGAAACAAACAATCTTAGAAGAGAAGTATTCATTCACATAACTATCAGATGTCTGTGTATGAATTCTTTGATCAAGACAAGTCAACCACTCACTATATTCTCTAAATTCAAAGTCAGTGTACACGCGTCTTCGGGAGAGACCACCATCCAGGGGAGAGCGGTTGGCAGTTTTAGGAGTCAGAATTGATTATGAAGTCTGGGGGTTTTGTATGCGGTGTGCACTAAGCCGATACCCACCACACACATACTTGCCAGCAACTAGAGTATATTCTAGACGAGTCGTTAGAATCAGATATATGCCTTTCTACTTGTCTGAATTCATTACTGACGTCTTGCATAGGATACACAGTGTATACGATTGTGAAGCAAATGAAAAAATTCCATACATTTGTTTCCCTTTATGAATTCGAATGAAACAAGAACAACAGTTTTTGCGGAATAATATGGTACCATCATTTACTCAGATTATTCAACGACGCACATTATTATTATATAATTATTGTTCCCTTGGGTTCCAAGTGGAACACAGGGCTTCAACTCCACATCTCCACTGGCTTCTGTCTTCTGCTCCACTTTTCATCTGCATCTTCCATGTCACCCTCGCACTGACTTCCCACTCGCCGCCTCCCTTTCGACCTGGTTCCACTCGAGAAATGGCCTGACACGCGCGCGATGTCACCCAGCGGCGGCCTCCTCAGCGAGTGTTCAATCCATCCACCTCCACTTTCACCTGCACATTTGTTGGTTGGCGATTTGTTTGTTCTTGTTTTGTTTGTTACTGTCCATAGTTTCTTGTTGGTGATCCTTTCCAACCCGGCTATCGGATTTTCAGTATAGATCCAGCGAAGACAGTTGTTTTTGATGAAGGTCTGCATCGCAACCTGTTGGTTGCAAATATTCTTCGTGACCCGCCCGCCAAGTTTCTGATCCTTATAGAAGAACTGACTGACTTGACGTTGTTTGTATTTAAGATCTGACCGAATTTTGTTATTGATGCTGGCTGAATGACGAAGATTTCCAGATTGGTTTCAGGGTGATGAATGTGCTTCTCGCTCGCCTTCCCGATTTGACATCCATGTCCGTTCTTCCTGTAGTTGAGACAATGCTCAATGCTAGATAAGTGAATGAAGTAACTAACCTCTTTCAAATCCCTCCCGTTCATGGTGATTGGCACTGGATGTTACTGCTGTTGTTGGCTGGTTATTCTCATAACCTCCGTCTTGTCTATGTTCACCTGGAGTCCTGTCTTCTCTGGCTGCTTCTTCGACTAGTTCGTCGATTGGTTTTCGTTTGTAAGTCTTCGATTTTGTCTGACATCAAACATAAATCATCCACGCGCAAAATCCAGGTCTTCTAGGTTCTTCACGTCGGTTCAAGGCATCTGTCTTCTCCTTTCCAACTGTCTGACGCATAATCCAGTCAGTCCACCACAATTAGGAATATCATTGGTCTTTCCTGTTTTAACTCCAAACGCCTCGCTGAGTTTTCCGTTGTGGATCACTTGACATGTGCCGTTGTCGTACAGCTGTTGAATAAGGTTTATGAATATTTGGGGCACTGGACGCCGTAGTACTACTCGAGTAGTTTTCAAATTACTTCGCGGTCAACGCTGTTTGGTGAAGGCCATGTCAAAGTCTATAAAGTTGAGGTAGAGGTTTGATTGCCATTCCATGCTTTGTTCTGTGATGATGATGCGTAGAGTTGCAATTTGGTCAGAACATGATTTGCCTGACTTTCCTGAATCCAGCTTGTTCTGGTCGGAGTTGTCTATCCAGTGCGTTCTTTATTCTGTCCAGTTCTTGCAGAGTCCTAAGTCGCCCTTCTTTGGTACATACAAATATTGAATTTCTTACGAAACATGAAAAGGCTTGACATTGCCATGCAACATCTGACAGATGGTAGTGTCTTGAGAGGTAAGTTTACTGAAAGCCTACATGGAATGGACAATGCCCACTTTTTAATAGTTTTTGTCCAAATAGCTTCAAACGAGCACTAGTCAAAACTCTATACTAAACACAGCTTGGAGAACGTGTTCTGCAGATAAGTTAGAGGAAGAATTTCTGATTCCCGAAAGAGATGTTGAAAAACAACGGTTACCCCCCTCAGAGATTCATTCATGAGTACGGGAGATGTGAAGGCTGGAATGCCAAACAAATAACTGTGGGGAAAAAAGCCTGCCTTGATTTTAAAGTGATAATATTGTAGGAATAGTCGGCAGAAGACTGAAGTCATTACCCAGAACCTGTCTTTCAGCTAGGTTAGTTTCCGTCTATCGGACAATGTGCTCCTTGGAGCAGTCAAAAGTCGACAGATACCCTTCTCACGTTAACTGTAACTGTGCGTACAAATTTATACGTGTCTGCGATAGAAGTTACATTGTGAGAATAGAAACAAGGCTACAACTCTGAACATGTATCAAAAGGCCTACATCTCAAGGGAACAAGTGTTTTCAATAGTGCCACTGCCAGGCGCATCTTCTTGATACGGGTCATAAGGTGGACATCGTAAAATCCTTATCAATTATCAATGGCTTTGTTGGCCTCACCTGAAACACTGAGACAGACCGCGCTAAAAGTTTCACAGTGGGCACACCCAGAAAATGCATGGATGAAATCTATTGTCAGAAGTTATGTATACTCGCAAATCATGGATGCTGGTACAAGAGGCTTCGTTAACCACTGTCACAGATGTATCCAGAAATCCGCGCTGTGAACCAGTGCGAGCACGGCGCCCATCCCAAATATGCTTTCGACTACATGTGGATTTTTCTGGGTCGAAAGATGATGCGTACTACTTGGTTCTGGTGGACGCTTACTCAAAATGGCCTGACGTAGTATCGACTCAGCAGTCGAATAATAGCACCTCTAGGGAAAATCGGCGCATGCCATGGCATACCAGAATGCATTGCATCTGACAACGACAGTTCATTCACCACACAAGTGTTCCCGGAATTCTACTAGAGGAACGGTATACAACACGTGTGGACGCCACAGGACATGACTAACTGGTTTCCACGCAGAACTTTGCACAGATTTGCAGCAGTTCCAGTTGCCTCTTTCCCTCCATGTAATACACAAAGCAAGAGAAAAGAGTATCTAGCACCAAACGCCTAACTTCAATATTGCTCACCCTATATTACATCTACCACCTAACACGGGAGACAGAACGCAGACATCAATGATTAAAGACAGCTAGCCGGCCTTTTCGTGTCTCCCACTTTCAATATCCATGTCTCAGCTATAAAGGATGAGGACGGAGCGGACTGCTGAGCAGTGATACATCCTTTTATCGATAGTCAGACGGTTATCACATCTACTAAGCCAGAGATGGTGTAAACTGGCATATGCGAAACGAACCTTCTGTATCCGTGCTGAGATTTCGTCAGTGATCAAACCACTGGCGTTGGCTGATGCAACTTCTCAAATAAGTGAGGTGGTCAACAGGCTCATCAACCCCTTCACTCCCTATCATTACGCTAGGAGTGAGTCGATGTAGTTCAGTCCAGTCCTGTAGCACCACACCATCTTACATGTCACAGGAGCTAATCGCATCTCGAGCATGTAAAAATTGCTGCCTGTCAACGTGTTTAGAAGACTCCGCATTTCATCAGACGGCGCCTTCAACCAGGAGGGAGGACTATATCATCCGCATATTCTAAGTAAACGAGATTATTCACTTGTAGTACCAAGTCCATCCCTGAGTTGATGAAGTCAGTCATTTCGGGTTAAGTCCATTGGTACATCTATGATGAAATGAAAGAGAGATGAGGACAGTGACCATCCTTGACGGACACCACTGGATGTCATTACTTCAGATGACTGCTCTGCGTAATCTCTTACATAGCTGCATGAGTTCGAATGGTGTGTCTTGATGAGTATGATGTATTTCCTCGACATCGCTTTCACAACCAAATATTATCAAGGTACCTCTCGGTCGACGGAACCGAATGATGCTGTCAGGTCAAGAAATATGACTTGAACAAAGCAAGAACAACAATTGTACTAGGATAATATGAGCTCATCTTTTATGATTATTTCAAGGATTCTTCTCAACTGGTTACAGACTGAACGATAAAAAAATATGAATTACATTAAAGATTTGAACATACTTTTCCACGATCACAAGGAGTAATTGGTAGGAATTAAAAGTAACATTAGTCCGGAATGATTTAGCTGATTAGGAGAAGAATCCTCGAAGTAATAAATGTAACTCCTAATCAGCTAAATCATTCCGGACTAATGTTACTTTTAATTCCTACCAATTACTCCTTGTGATCGTGGAAAAGTATGTTCAAATCTTTAATGTAATTCATATTTTTTTATCGTTCAGTCTGTAACCAGTTGAGAAGAATCCTTGAAATAATAATAAAAGATGAGCTCATATTATCCTGGTACAATTGTTGTTCTTGCTTTGTTTAAGTTTATTAATGGGAAGAATTGCATGAAGTTTTTAAAAAATATGACAACTGTTTGTTTCTTCCGAGCACCACCACTATGCACGACTATTGAGCTCACACGTATAGATATTTGACTTCCAATCAGTGAGTGAGTGGGTTCACACCTCGTTTAATCTATGGAAGTCTGCACTTTAGTAGAGTATCACTAGCTTTCACACACACACAATAAGTGTGGCACATTGTCAACTGAATTAATTTACAAGTGGTTGTTGAGTAATATGTATTTTGTTTCCAAACAGCCAACGAGACAAAGATGTGGACACAGCTTGATAAGATTGACTAAAAAGTAGTATTCTTGTGAAGGATATTTTCACTAGAAACAATAAGACAACGGTGATATTAGAGGTAATCGGAAGGAAACCCAGTCTGACCTAGATTTCGTGCTTGTCAGTAAGGCATGCATATCTAAAACCTTGAAGGAATTCAGGTCCCACCTCAGACTCGAACCCGTGTCACCCAGTGCAGTGCTGCAGCTAGAGACGTTACCACTGAGTTGTTCGGACGCGTGATTGACCTTTTGAAGCATATTTAGACAAACTAACCTTGAAATATTGCGAAGGCATATAGGCATTTCGTCTGGATTTAATGCAGATAGTACAAATATTAATGTGACTAAATCAACACTGACTGCTGCATTGCTAGATTCCACATCATTGGCAGAGTTTACAGAGGAAGATAGTGCAGTTTTCAAGGAATCAGCTTGAGTTATATCACAGACAAATGCATCACATTTGATTGGATATGACTGAACCCGTTCTTTTAACATATTTACAGCACGCTGAGAAACATCACAGGCATAGAAACGAAGAAAGCCTACAGTGAGTGAAACAAAAATGTATTATTTAGCAGAGTGGATGACGGTCATTAACTGAAAGAACCATGAATAACTTTCAGACCATAAAAAATTTCTATGGACTATATCAGCATGTTTAGATGATTCAGTGACAACGAAATCTGTGAAATTACATCGATTGAGATGGTTAGGACATGCCTTACGTATGCCTGATTGTCGCCTTCCTCGACAATGGGTAATGTTAGCTGGCATAGGGTCAGGCTGGAAAAGAGCTAGCGGCGGTGAAACGAAAACATGGTCTCACCAGTGAATGAAATCCACAACAGTTAGTTTACGCCAGCCACGTAGGAAGGTGTAGACCTCCTGTTCCCCCTCTATCTCTATCACAGAAACACCAAACGAACAACCCCAGCCTTCTAAACAAAAGTAAACCAATCATGTTCCTATTCGCTAGTAAGAGCAAAACACATGACAAAAATAAGCGGAAACGAAATGGAAGTAAAGTAAGCCAGAGATATCAGACAAAAATCAATAGGTATGACACATTTAGGCACATTCATGTTTTTGAGATTCCTTTTAGGTTGCATCACTCATCCGGGTGTCGACCAAAGGACGTGTGTACTCTGCTCTCCTCCTTTGTGTCTGTGATACATAGTTATTGAAAGTGAAAGAAATCAAAAGGATGGCTAGCTGTCTTTGATCATGGGTGTCTGTATTCAGTCCAATGCAATGAAAGGAGGAAAGCCCGATTGACGAGGTTGTGCAGTTACATCAATTGAGATGGTTAGGACCCGTGTTACGCATGCATGTCTAGATATCGCCTTACTCGACAACGAGCAGTGTTAGCTGAAATATAATTAATCACATTGGGAAAGAGAGCTAGTTGGTCATCAAACCAAAACATAGCTTCTTCATTCAATGAAATCCATAACAGTTAGTTTAAGCCAACCAGCCACGTAGGCAGGTGTAGACTGCTTGACTGATTTAGGTCTTTGCGATGGTTAGAACCAATGGGTTTGAGACAGTTGGTGATATAACTGAGAATCGTTGTCAATGACAGCGTAGATGCATTCACTCTTTATATATATATATATATATATATATATATATATATATATATATATATATATATATATAGAGAGAGAGAGAGAGAGTAACAAATGCACCCTTCTAATTAACACCATTCGAAACAAGTAATTAACAAAGCACCACTGAATACTCACCATTCTTTATTGACATATCGTTAAATTCTCCCTCAGGAGTTTGTACATCTTGCTTCTCTGACACAGATATGATACTTTCGATTAGAGGAATTAAGAAATTTCCAACACCACAACCAACCTCCAACAGAGATCTTGGCGTTTTATTATCCAAACAGGATAATTCTACAAACTCTCGTGTTGTCCAATGACGATCCTGAAGAATAGGAATGAAAGTACAAAGCGCTGTAAAAATTAAAATTTTATTAAAAAAATATATTCACTGGAAGAATCCTAACCTGTGTTTTCTCAAGGGGATATTGTCTAACCACTTTCCTTACCTTGGCGATCATATAAAACATGAATGTAAAAAAGTTGATAATTTCTCTCTCCTCCTAATAAATTCACAAGTTATAATTGCCCTAACTATTTTACTATTCTAACTACTTCACCTTCAGTTATTTATTACGCAATCAATATGGACACTCGTTTATTGCTTTAGTTTCCTTTTTGTACCCCTTCGCATTTCATGCGGAACATAGGGTACCAAACTCTACGCATTGAAGTCTCCGAAATGCTTGTTTTTGTTTTTACAAAGTGAGATTTCTGACATCACTCCAACATTCCTTCTTTAACTGGGCTTACTACCGGTTGGCTCGAGATCCACATGAGCGATTCAGCCAAGAAACGAACCCGGACCACGTGTGTGTGTGTGTGTGTGTTTGGTTGGCGAGCATTCTATTCCCGGGAATCACAGACGCAACATGTCTTAATGACACCCATTTTATTTTGCCAAAATTATGAGCGCACTGTGTACTCTACCTATTTAATTTTCAAATATATATTTCTACACCTTAATTGTAGCGTTGATTTTCTTGGTCAATTATCACTTACAAGAAGTTAAGACATTCTGGAATAACCCAACCCTTACTCTTACGATTCGTTAACTCTTGCATCCTGCATATTATTCTCTATTGTACCCCATTAGTTTTTCCAGGGCTACTGAAGAAGGACTACATTTTATTACGTAGGGTGTTAAAGGTTGTCAGCAGGGTAAGCAATGTGCCACTCAACCGGCTTGTTAATATTCTAGCCGACAGGCACATAGACTCATGTGAAAAATGGGCTAGATCAGGGCATTATATCTGACTCACACCACCCTCTTCATTCACAACTCTCCCCTTGTATCTCATCAGGCCAGACCAAAGCAGAAGCCTATATAAGAAATTATATGCTCGCACTAGCAAGTACAAAAACTCAACTCAACTATACCCTACTTGACTCGTGTTCTGTGCGATAAAGAAAACATTAAGCGTGATACCTATAACTTATTATATAGTCACCTACCAGGAATCAAAAACCGGAACGTTTAGGTTACTAGGCGATCTTCAATACACATTCACTGATGCAATCTACCATCTTGAATTTGATAAAGTGATCAAAAATGAATGTAAATATTACACAAAGCAAAGCAAAATGTGCAGCACACGAAATGCACGCTCACTTTGAAAAATCGAACACCATTTCGATTATAAAAACGATCCCAATTTTTCCCCGCTTGCGAAAGCAGTTTTGTCCGTTCAAATGAAGTTACCAAAGTGTCAATTTGTTTAGCTAAAATCGTTTTCACCTCTTCATTTTCTCTTACTGGAGAAGCCTCATTATCAGGTGGGGAATTTTCATCACTGTTATTATCACGTGGGGAATTTTCATCGCTGCCTATAAAGGAAATATTAAGTGTGAGGGGGATGGGCGGTGGTTACAACGAAAAAAATAAAATTAGTTAGATTCAAAGCAACTATTATACATTAAAACAAGCAAACGCCAAATGTTGTTAATAAAGGTGGATTCAGTGAATTCACGAAATTTCGGTGGAGCTCTTCAGCTCAGTACTCCGCATACAATTATTGTTTTTTTACGTGTCGATCACGGATTGATACCAGTTAGAGAACCATTGAAAACCAGGGAGTACCAGACAGCTATTCCATCAGCCTAGTTTGGGAATCATCGGCAGCACGCACCCACTGGGATTCGAACCCAGGAACTTCCGGTTACAAGGAAAGCTCGTATACCATTCAACCACTGGAACTCGATTCAATGGCCAACGCATGAGTTCTAACTTCTACCAATTCGTGATTTAGCGCGACCCAAATTAATCCGATGCTCGCTAGTGACTTGCTACAGGATGGAGTTTCCTGGAGTTCTAGTGAGAAGTCGTGACCAGTGAGGTCCAATTAGATGTCACGTGTGTGGATGGATGTCCCACCAACGACAACGGTTGGGGTCGCGCTAAATCACGAATTGGTAGAAGTTAGAACTCATGCGTTGGCCATTGAATCGAGTTCCAGTGGTTGAATGGTATACGAGCTTTCCTTGTAACCGGAAGTTCCTGGGTTCGAATCCCAGTGGGTGCGTGCTGCCGATGATTCCCAAACTAGGCTGATGGAATAGCTGTCTGGTACTCCCTGGTTTTCAATGGTTCTCTAACTGATATCAATCCGTGATCAACTGTAAAAACATAACCCTTACAAACCAAACTATAGAAAATTATTATCATTATTATTCAAAACAGAACATGGTACAATATAGCACTAAGAATTATGCCCCACACATCAATAATAAAACAACACATGAAAAATAATAATAGGTAGAGAATCAATAAAGAACACGATCTGAAAAGAAAGCAGCTATATATTCAACAGGACCAAACACAGCAGTCATGGAATTATTGTCAAGAGGGAAAGAAACAAGGAAAGTGCAGCACCTTCGCCATTGAATTGGATTCTTGGCCATAAACGATAACGTTTCGAGTGTCACCGACACGAGCTATCTCTCGTACCTTAAGCACAGAGTCAATACGCATCAGCTATTGCACTTCACGCATTAACACACAACCACGCAATAGGGTGGTGGGAGAGGGTTAAGATTCTAAGAAGTAATCTGTATAAGTGCAGAGAGAGACTGATTACTGAATCCTGCCTCCTTCATTGAGTCTACACCCAACACAACACATGCAACAGAAATGACTCAATGCAAATACCAGAGATATGAAAGATATTATTACCACCAGTCAATCAAATCAGAGGGGGATAATAAATAATCTCAAAATTCTATTTCAATTCAAGAACATCACAACATTCTAACAAGTTACTTATTATGACAATATAAAAAAACCTCGTCTTATTTCCCATCTGATTGTGATTGATCAATCACACTCATATTATTATTTATGAATGCACATTATCCTATAATGATTTCTATTCAAATATCTAGTCAATTCCACTCATGTATATAAATGAAGGAAAAAGTTGTGTGGGTAGGCGCCTTGATATGGTTATGAGCAATAATTTGTGCTCGAAACGTGGTCATCAGTAAATATTACTGTAAAACACTGAGTGACTTATCAAAATAAAATCTTATCCATAATAGAGTTATACTCAGCCATAGTGCCCAAGTTTTATACTTATTTTAAATTTGCCCCCGTTTCGCCCAATTTTGACTGATTTTCAATCTTTCTATAGTTTTACTTAGATATAAATATAAGCAGGTAAAGGAAACTATCAAAAAGCAAGGTGTTCCCACACAGTTCTTCTTCTTCTTTTTCATTTAAAAAGGGTATGGTTAATAAAGAGTTGATTGACAAATGTTAAACTTACTCAGTGAACTATCATCATCATCATCATCGGTTTCCTGTTCGTCACAATCCTCTGATGATTCAGAACAACTAGAACTACTAGACAAATCAAATTTAAACGGTATTAATTAATCAATAAATCGACAAACTTTGAAGATTCAGCATTTAACTCTTCATCTAATTCATTATACACATCAGCATAGGATTCTACAAGAATACTGGACAGTAATTATTGACTACCTACTTGAAGTTGAGGAGTTATTGTTATTATTATTTTCATCTTTATTTACACGAGTTATCTGTTTCAGAAAATCATCCTGTAGGCTCAAAATTTCTTTACTTGTTTTACACTCTGAATAGGATTGTAATCGATGATGATTGAGTGTTAGAAATTGATGACCCCATGAAAATTTATCCAACAATTCACTGGCTTGGTTGTGTTTGCCTAGAATGTATAGACCAGCAGCTAGTGCTTCAACGCAAGATAACTGGAATGGTTTTCCATACTTGACTGGATTAGAAGCTATCAAAAGTGGTAGTAAACGTCCATGATGGAATTTCAACTAAAAAATATATATATAAACAATGTATAAACATATTATATAAAAGAACATCTTCAAAAGCATGGATACTAAACAAAGAAAATGGACATAATTATTAAAAGAAGACGAAATTATGGCAAGTTTTGTTGTGGTTTCTCCATTTACTAATATTTCTATATGTGATTCCCTTGATATTATGAAATATGAACTTGAGAACAATCAGGAAGTATTAACTAAATCTTTATTATCAATAGATGAATTTATGAAATGCTTAAAACTTTATTTAGAATCTACATATTTCACCTTTAAAGACAAACTATACTGTCAGACGAATGGGGTTTCAATAGGTTCACCAGCATCTCCAATTTTAGCAAACTGCTCATCAGTCCGCTCCGTCCTCCTTTATGGTTGTGAGACCTGGCCACTCAGAGTGGAAGACATGAAAAGACTAGCTGTGTTTGATCATAGGTGCCTGCGCTCTATTTCCCGTGTAAAGTGGCATAATAAGGTGAGCAACATTGAGGTTAGGCGTAGAGTTCTAGGTAAACAGGGGAAATCAATCGACGAAGTCGTGAAGCTACAAAGACTGAGATGGTTAGGACATGTGTTACGTATGCCAAGCCATCGCCTCCCCCGACGAGCTATGTTAGCGGATATAGGGTCAGGCTGGAAAAAAGCTAGCGGCGGTCAAACAAAAACTTGGCATCAGTCAATGAAATCCACAACAGTTGGTCTAAGCCACGTAGGAAGGTGTATACTTCCAGGCTGGGGTCCTCGGGACGGTAAAAATCTATGGTTGGAAACAATTGGTGACATGGCTCAAAATCGTTCTCAGTGGCGCAGATGCATCCACTCCTTGTGACTTATGATCTCCAATGAAACTGTTTTGTTCTTCGTTATTACTCCTCCTTTGTCTCACTCCTCTGCTCACAGTTTCTATTATGCTTTTCTTATACTTTCTTCTCTTGCTTCGCGTACTACACGGAGTGTGGCGACTTGAACTTCCGCACATTTGTGCAAAGTTCTATGTCGAAAACAGACAGACAGACAGACAGAAGCCAGGATATGAAAGCCCTAGAAAGGAAAGCATCGACAAGTTTTTAGTTGTCATCTTTGAATATTAATACAGGTATGTAGATGACACATTTACCATCATTATGAAAGCTGATTAACTTAGTCTCAGAATATATAGAGTTTACTAATGAAGTAGAATCCACTGAGGGAAATCTACACATCTTCTTGGTTGCCTTGTAAAAAGACAAACTGACGAGAAACTAAAGTTTACCATATACAGAAGCCTGATACATTCTAACAAGTATTTGAATTTCCAATCAGATCATCCAATAGGAATGAAAGTTTCAGTAGCTTTAAATTTCGCTAACAGAGCTAGAAACATAATAACAGATAATGATAATATGGAGAACGAGATATTCAATATGTCTAGATTCAACATAGAACTTGCCACCGAAGTGCACCAGTTCGAGTTGCCACGTTCCAAATAGCACACAAAGGTAGACAAGAAGATGAGTGAAGAGAATCAATAGAGTTTGACAAGTATAAGAGTGAAACAGAATGGGTAATGGTAGAAAGGAATATGAAAGATTACAGAGACTGAATACATCTGCGCTGGCCATTGACAACGATTTTGAGCCATGTCACCTATTGTCTCCAGCCATTGATTCCTAGAGTCCCGAGGGCCCCAACCCGGGAGTCTGCATCTCCCTACCTGACTCAGTTTAACTGTCAAGGATTTCATGGATTGATGAGGCCATGTTTTTGTTTGGCCACCACTTACTCTTTTCCAACCTGCACCTATATCAGCTAGTAATGCCCGTCGGGGGAGGCGGTGGTTAGGCATGCGCAGCACGTGACCTAGCCATCTCAGTCTATGTAACTTTATAGCCTCGTCGATTGATTTTCCCTCTTTGCCCAACACTCTACGCCTAACGTCAACATTACTTACCTTATTAAACCACCTAACGTGAGACAGAGATCGCAGACATCTATGATCGAAAGCAGTCAACCTTTTCATGTCTTCAACTCGTATTGGCCATGTTTCAGAGCCATAGAGAAGGACGGAGCGAACTGATGAGCAGTACACACGTCCCTTGGTTGATAACCGGATGTCACGCCTACGCCAGAGATGGTGTAAGTCAGCGAAAGCAGCTCGAGCTTTTCGGATCCGTGCTGAGATTTCATCGCCAATCAGTCCGTTGGTGCTAATACAACTTCCCAAATAGGTGAAGTGGTCAACATGTTCTATCACTTCACTCCCTATCACTAAGTTAGGAGTTGACGTGGTCCAGTCCTGTAGCAGCATCTTACATTTTGTAGGGGCGAATCGCATGCCAAACATACGAAGATTGCTGCTCAAGGTGTTCAGAAGACTCTGCATTTTGTCAGCATCCTCCCCTAACAGGACTATGTCATCTGCATATTCTAAGTCCATAAGACTATTCCCTGGTAACAAGTCGATTCCTAAGTCATTACGTTCAGTTAAGGATACTTCCACTAGCATATCTATGATGAAGTTAAACAGAAATGGGGAAAGTGGACATCCCTGTCGGACACCACTGGTTGTTACCAATTCAGATGACAATTCCCCATAAGCCCTTACACGACTACGTGAGTTTGAATAGAGTGCCTTGATTAGTGCAATGTACTTTCTTGGCACTCCCTTCACAGTCAGACATTGCCATAGTACCTTTCGATCCACGGAGTCGAAGGCCGCCTTCAAGTCAAGAAATATGACAATTGTTGGACGCCGAAAAGTGTGTCTATGTTCTAGAATCTGTCGAAGAGTGAAGATATGATCTATGCACCCTCTACCTGGTCTAAAGCCTGCTTGATTTTCCCTTGTCTGTTCCTCCCGAGTTCTGCTTAGTCTATGCATGATTACTGAGCCTAGGATTTTAGAGACTATGTTCGTTAGGCTGATCCCCCTATGATTATCACACGAGGACTTGTTTCCCTTCTTGAATATCGGTATAATAAGTGACTTACCCCAGTCTGATGGCACTGTCTCTGATTCCCAGACTTTGCCTAGTACCTCAGTTAATCTACAAACTAGTATGTCACCCCCATATTTAAACACCTCCGGAATAATTCCGTCGGGTCCTGCCGCTTTGCCTCGTTTCAAATTACTGATAGCTTTTTTGACCTCACTTACAGACGGCGGACCAGTGTCTATATCCTGTATTCACGTATTTTCCATATGACAAATAACATACACTCACACACATAGAAAACTAATCCTTACAAACCAACTATCGAAAAAATATACACAATAACAATTTGACATTAGTCATTACAAATATATGTGACGACTGCTTACATATTTCTATTGGTACAAATGTCCATGGACAAATGACGTTCAAATAAACTGACTTCAATTTATGTAAAGCATTTTTGACTATATATTTTGATGATTAATAAAAATCCGAATAAATTTGCTGAAGAAGCTGTGGCTTACAGAGCGAAACGTTCAGAAAAATCTTGTTTCGATTTTCTTAACACGCTGGGATTAATTTAAATAATTTATAATGAAGGAAAAAATTTATCGAGAAACACATGACAAAGAAAGCGGAAAAGGACTGCTCACTATCTGTAAACAACAAGCCACTTTATATACGACTGCAGTTCAAGGGTGATATACCAAATAAGATAATTACGAGGAAATTAAGAAAATCAGTTCAAATAACTCTTAATGCTGGTGAACTACATATCTCATCCTCTACACGACTGATGATGCTACCTCGACTGAAAGATGAAGTACCCAGACTAGCTGGCCACTTCAAATTGTATCCACCAATTCAACTGTACTTGTAGTGGAGTGAGTTAAATTGGACATTGCTCTAGGAACTTGATTTTTCGTGCTCACTCGAGAACATCTTCCAGTATGGCTAAGTAAAGGTGTAGTTAAAACCATCATCAACAGTTCGATATTGGACCACCTTGTGCAAACCAGCCGGCCACAATGCCAGCCAGCCAGCGTGGAAGAACCCTTCTCTATCATCATCTACCGGGTGCCTAATAAATTGCCAAAATCATCATCGAAGCACCGCATGCTCCAAACAGCAGGCGCTATTGCAATTCGCCTCAAACAACCAGTGCTTTGTGTGCAAAAGAAGCAAGTCCAGGTAGTCCCTACTACTGCCCTGGCCGGCCTTCAGTAGAGACTATAAATTCATGAATTTGTAATATTATCTTTCCTAATTTTTCTGACATTCAGTTTATTATGTCGATGCTATTGAGCTGTAATCTATCAATGTTATTGATTCGATGTTATTTAAACAACATTAGTGTTGTTAATAACACTAATTCATTCACTATTATGGATGCATATAACTGTAAAAGCTGATAAAGGGCAGGTTATCGAAAAGAGCACTCTTTGTTCAGTATCCATTCGTTTGAAAAATTTTAATGGGTATTTTTAGTCAGTTAAAAAGTACATCTACAAAGTAATAATTACATGATATATTCATAAATAAAATTCATACTGTACCGGCATAAGACAAGGGCCAAACAACAGATCCCCTATTGAGAAATCAACAGATATTTTTATGTACATTAACTATTAGTTATTGTTAGCAGAGGAACAACGTCTTTTGATTGGTTGTTTTCTTGCTGAAGGTTATTTTGTCATCTCTTTGATCCCGTTTCTTAGACGGTCCGGTGGTATATATATAGCTTCTAATCGTATCCGCCCACTCTAAGTCTCCTTTGATTAGTTGTTGAGTTTCCCAAGGTTAGTCTTTGTTCTTGTTTTCTCTCCTGACCCCAATTCACGAAGTAAACACTGGCGTATATTGGTGTCTACAATTTCGGCTAGCAGACAACTCTCACCACAATACTATCTACCGCCCTAACGAACGAACTAAGTTTCAACAGAGAACTTTATAGAGACGTGCAGCTGTTCAACTTGCCATAATCAATGTATGACAGAGAGAGAGAGGCTCGAATGTACTGTAATAGGCAGAAATGTACGAGGGAAGGGATACTACCATGGGAAAAGCATGAAAACTTTAAATATTCCCATTTAAAATATTAGAACAAGACATATAAGCGAACAATATTGTTTTTAATCAGATCTTCTTCAGGCTTTACTCTAATTTACATCGATATATCAAAGCTGTTATGGCGAACAACCAGACGACTTAACAAACGCATTAATGAGCATCTTCCTTTGATTGATAGCGGTCACCAAGTGGACAAAAATAGTGCCTTCAAAGTTATCTATCGCATTCCATCGAGCCTTTCGAACAGAGTAAAGCCTGAAGAAGATCTAATTGAAAAGCATGAAAGTTTAATGGATAAGAATGACTAGAAAAGGTGGGTTCATTTGCACCATTGAGAACGGTTTTCAGTCTTATCACCAAATAGTCTCCAACCATTGGTTCTTAACACCCTGAGGACCCCACCAACCGGTCAGTTTACACCTCTTAGATATGAAAGAGAAGATTTGCAGCTCAGGTGGATGATTTTGATGTGGTTGTGTTCTCTGAGTTAGCTGGATAGTTAATTAGCGGAAAATACAGAACGCTTCACGATTTTGCGTGATTTGGATTTGGATGACACGCGAAATCGTGAAATGTTCCATATTTCTCGCAAATTAACTATGCAGCTCAGAGAACACAACCATATCAAACGTTTACACACACACACACACACACAACCCCTACGTGGTTCAAACCAGTTGTCAAAGAATCTACATATATTGACTCTCTCTCACTACTGGCTTCTCTTGCTTGGAGAGCTACATAGAGGGAGAGTGGCAACTCGAACTTCTGCGTATCTGTGCAAAGTTCTACATTGAAACCATTCAGTCAGGCACATGCTATGGACTGTAGTCTATCAGGAATCCACATACATATACAACTTCATATCTTAACAAATTCGATGTTGTTAAAAAACACTAATGTTATCAACAACACTTGTACGTCAAGCATTATGAATTTGTAACTGTGAGACCTGATGAATTTATCAGAGAGACTGTTCATAAATTAGTGTTCCGGAATATATTTTATTTTGCCTTATTTTACTCTATGGTTTCCTGATTTTATCTCTAACTAAGATGGCTGATATAAATCTGTCTGTCTGTCTGGATTCAACATAGAACTTGGCACCGAAGTGCAGCAGTTCGAGTTGCCATGCTATCTATGCGCAACCTTATCAAAAATCCTATACACAGGGATCCTGATGTTCCTTCTAGTTATCAGCACTGGATCACTCACTGTATTGCATCAAATGAACTTATCTAACATAGAATTCCGCCTGACATTTTACATTAAGAATTTAAGGCACTCGGGTATAACTCAACTCCTCCTCTTACAGTCCATAAACTCTTGCATCCTACCTATTCTTCTTTATTGTTCACCCTAATTCTTTCCTGGTTTGCTTAAAAAGGAATATGTCATAATTTGTAGAATGCTGAAGACTGTTAGTAGGGTGAGTGGTGTCCCAGTGGACCACATAGTTAACGTCGTTGTCGATAGGCACTTTGATTTCGTGCAATAAATTTGCTAAAGGGATTTTGTCTGACTTGGAGCATCCACTTCACCCTCAGCTTCCTTTCACCTCGCATCTCCTCAGGTAGAACAAGAAGTAAGTTCAGAAAACTGTATGCTCGCACGTCTAAGTATAGACATTCTATCATTCTACCATACTCGGCACGTACTTTATGTGATGAAAATAGTGTCAGGCAAGAATTAACTAACCTTTTTTCATCTAGTAAACAAACAAGTTTTACTTTTATTATTTCTATCATATTTATGGTCCTGTTGCTTCTTTGTTTTACTCCCTCGCATAATTGCAAACACCAACTTATCTCATTGACTGCTGTAATCTTTGTTTTTCCCCTCACCATATCATGTAAAGAGAACATTATATTCAATATTTTTAAACATGCTAGGATTTCTATACCGCATATAACGACAATACTGTGTGAATTAAGCCCACGGCAATTTTCACTTGTATTATTATTACTAGTACCTTAGCTGTTATCATTATTATTATTTACATTTTATATGCTGCATGTTTTTGATATTACCCCTATTGTAAAAGTGGAAAATTTTTGTGTGATTAATTTTTATTTATAATTTGAGGAAATTAAATGCAATATTGTGACAAATGCTGAAAATTCCATTCCGTATCACAAGTACTGTTTTTGGAATAAAGTAAATTACTTTTATTATTATATTTTAACATAGAATAGAAATTCCAATTTTTAAACAGAAGCCTATTCCGACACAACTAGTTGGGAAAAGAACCAGTAGTGGTCAACCAACATGCCTTCATCAGTAAATGAAATCCACAACAGTCACGTAAGGAGATGTAGACTTCCTGACTGGTTGGGTTCCTCGAGAGATGGTAAACACCAATGAAGGCTGGAGACAACTGGTGATATGGTTCAAACTGATCGTTCTCAATCACAGTGCAGATGCATCCACTCCTTGTGACTTATAATACCCAATAGAACTATATTGGTCTTAGATATTACTATTCTTTTTCGCTTCATATCTCTGTTCAATGTCTTTATTTTGCGTTTCTTTTTTACTTTCTTCTCTGGCTTTATGTGCTGAGTGAAGTGTGGCGATTTGAACTGCTGCGCACCGGTGCAAAGTTCTATGTTGAAACCAGACAGACAGACAGACAGTTGGGATCAAGTGATTTCTCTGTTATATGACGATATACTTATTTAAACTATCCAGCATCCTAATATTGCAATTTGAAGACAACAAATCAAACAACTGGTTGAAAGAAGATAAATCGATGAATGAACTTTGATAATGCAAAGCATAGAACATAAACAAAGAAAATTAGGCGCGATAGTCATTTAGTCAAAATTACAACAAGATTGAATCAACATACCTTGTTGAATGCAGTGTCTTCCAGTTTTGCCCAAGAACAATCTACTACAGCAATACCACCATTTTGCAAAATCTGACAGTCAGTTTCTGGAGATAAGACACAGCTCGCCGTCGGTGTTAGTACAATGCCTCCAAAACTTTCATTTAACCGCAGTAGTTTAATCATTCCCAGACGAGCTAATTTACGACCTGAACAACGTTTAGGATCGCATTGTTCAAAGTCCCACATAGCTGTGATAATTCTATCCGGAATATCTACACTTCACAATACATACATGAGTGAAATCAAACCCTACCTTCATTTTCTGATTTACCAGGAGAAACTTGTGATTCGGTCGTCTTACGACTGTGGGTTTTGGAATTCGATGGGTATTCTCGTTTGATTTTCATAACAAGAGGGGATTCAAAAACTTTAGACTAGTGTTGCCTAAAATTTTTAGAAAAAAAATTGGAAACAGCAGGAAAACAAGAGTGGAAGAAGGATTACATTCACGAAAATTAAGCGAGTTTTATAAGTAGGTGGTTGCAAAATAGGTATTTTTCACAACACATTTGTGTTCACTGCACTACCGCTTTAATCCCTGAGTGAAGGCTAAGTGTTATGCAACCGCTATGAACTGTCTTAAGTAATAAGAAAAAGGCACAAACAGCGAAATTTTTTTTTCCGACGATTAATTTTCATGAGCTGTACAATCGTAATTATAATTAACACAGAAATCTTTAGACCAATCAGATACTGGTAAACTTTGTCCTTGAAAATCGTACTACATAATGTAAGGTGTAAGAAGGGATGACTAATTGTAAGTTAGAAAGGAGACAGAAGTTGGCATGATCTAATAAGTGTGAGATAATGACTAATCAATAAGCTGCTATAGAATGGACAGGAACTATTGTAAAGGCTATAAAGTAGTTTTGTATATGATCTGTGCGAAAAAGCAATGTTATTAACAAACAGTAATAGAGTTGTAATAAAATGTGGATGATGGGAATAATAATGATAATAAAAGTATTAAGAATAATAATAGTGAACTTACATGTTAAAAGAAAGGAGCAAAATTATAGTAAGAAATTTACTCTGGCCATGGTAGGGTCAGAGAATGTATGTATCGTTTTTGTATGTACAGGTCCGGTTTTAGGTCTCGAATAGCTAATGCCCTCAAGGACAAAGCTTACTAGTATCTGATTGGTCTTAAGATTTCTATGTTATTTACAATTACGACTGTATAGCTCATGAAAATTAATCGTCGGAAAGAAAATTATCTTCGCTGTTTGTGCCTTTTTCTTATGTCTTAAGTAAGCCTGAGATTGAGCAAGATTCAACACAGAACTTTGCACAGATGTGTAACAGTTTGAGTTGCCACTCTCCCTCCATGTAGCATACAAAACAAGAGAAGAGAGATTCAAAAGACAGCTATTAATCAGAAGTGTGAATGATGGAAAAAGAATAGTAATATGGAAGAACAATAGAATTTTATCGGATATGATAAATCACAAAGACTGAATGCATCAGCACTGTCATTGAGAACGATTTTGGGCCAGATCACTAATACTCTCTGAACAATGGTTCGTGGTATCCCTGGGACCTCAACCAGACAGTTTATCTCCTTCCTACGTGACTTTGATTTGACCACACATATTCCCATTATGGGTAAAATTTATTTTGATTACGGAATTATACTCTACCACAGTGCAAAAGTTTTATTCTTATACCATTCAGAATTCTTTTTCAACCTAACTCTATGTAAGCTAGTATTGACCACGTCCAAGCTTGCCACCTAAAAAGTTCGCACTTAAATGCAAACGTAGTTAGAGCTCTGGAAAAATCGTCGTCGTTGATATGTGGTCCATCTCAGAGACCGACATACAACTCAGTGAAGTGCACTGAATAAATTCTGCATCGCTGAGCCTAAAAAGTGTGCTTCTCTAGAGATCCTATGACATTGACGTTCTTTTTAGATTGTGTCCGCTTCGCGCTAAGAACCAAGATCGAGTCCCCACCACTCGACTACATACGCATCAACATTAATGTACATGCCATTAGGATACCTTATATTACATAATGTGGTAATCAGTAATGGGAGTGTTACTTTCTAATCAATTCCGCCCACGCAACGACCACTTCTAGCACAAAAGTAATTCTAGCACCACCAGGCTTCACAGGCACCGTTGCCAACTGGGGACTTGAGTGTATATGCCTGGAGCCTAGCCTTACAGACAAGATCATTGGTGTTCACACCATGCGGACTATCAACTTCAGGGTATAATCTATTTGTCATCATTACAAAATTCGACACAACTGTCCCTTTTAATGCCACCTACCAACCTTCCTCTCCTACCCAAAAATATCACATTACTAATCGCTACCCATAGCATGGGTGCATGCTCCATTTCTGATTCTTCTCGAGAAATTTCCCGAATTAGGATGATACTTCAGTGTTTGCCACAGTTATCTTGAGTTCTGGTGGTGACTATTAACGTCGTACTAAACAGCTTGCATTTGTCTACAACACCCACATATCAAACCGGGCTAGACTCAAGGTTAGCTATCGACATTCTTGAGTCTCTTCGAATACTAGCTAGCTGCAATGACAAGAAGCCACAATGACTGCAAGTAACGCCGCTCGTGACTAGAAAGAATGCACTACGAGACACCCGTTATGTTATTGACTTTAACATAGTGAGAACTTAATGACTTACAGGAGATTTTGCATGCAACAAGCATTGAGCTACACCTACTGTATAAGGATTGGCGCGTACGCTTTCAATCAATCTGGACGAAACGAAGGTTTCGAACTCAACAGCTACTGGTTAAAAATCATGCTCTACAATAAATGAGATAGTGGCTAGTCGTTCAAACCATTTCGTCATTCTCGTAGCTTATTCTAAGTACTCACATCAACTATTGATAACAGACAAACGCTTCAGGAGTGGCATTTTTACATTATGAAGTAACTTCGGCTTTTGTGGTTTATATAGCATCAGAAGATTTCTAGTTCACTTTAACTAACTTATTTACTTGAAGTGTTGTTCATTTCATTCACATCTTGTGTTTTTGTTTGGTTTTTACCTCACTGTTTTTACGTATATATATATATATATATATATATATATATATATATATATATATATATATATATTTATATATATATTTCTGTAGCCTAAACAAATTACAGAGTTATGAGTCTGTGGCCGACCGAACTGCCACTTTCCATTGGATGATGGGATGCAGTGTAACAACTGCAGCCTATGGTTTCACAAAGTTTCCAGTGGTTTATCACCAGTAGCCTACAAGAGATATTGCAAGCCACCATCTCCGTGGCTGTGCAAATTTTGCAGTAACCCGTTGGATGTCCTCATCCAAGAGGCAGTAGGATTCCTGGTGTCCAAGAAATTGTCGAAAAATATAATCGAAAAACCTTCACCAGAAATATTAGCCAAGAATGGTGGTTCAGGACTTAGTTTCAAAACTGAAAGTGTATCACCTTCTGAAGCTTTAGAGACAAAAGAGGCACAGAGTGCCCAAATATCTTTTGCGGCAAAGCGCAAAAGACAAAGGAAAACCAAAAAGGCAAGTAGCGCCATCATGGTGATACCAGTTGGTGAAACCGGCCACGCCAAAGCGCATCGTGTCTGGTGTACGACTGGCTTCCGGCTGCGGCCAAAACAAAGTGGAAGAAACAGACTCCACTTGATTGGTCCCAACAAGTAGGAAGCTAAACAAACGTAGGAAAGAAACAGCAACCGAGTTTTACCAGCCAAACTACGAAACCCACGGACTCTAGTTACAATGTCATCATTTGGAACTTGGAGGAATCTAAAAACGCATATCCGGCTGTCCGACATGCAGATGATCCGAAGGCGGTTAGCTCCATTGTTCGGGAAATATTTCCTGAGAGAACAAGTGGAGTCCATATAAGAAAGGCCATCAGGACCGGAAAACGAAACCCTGATGCTACAGAAACTTCCCAACGACTACTTAAGATAGTTTTAGCGAACGAGACAGAGGGGAGCACCGTCCTCAACAACGCGTTCAAAATCAAAGATAAAAGTTTAAAAATAAGGCCTGATTGGCCGTTAGGAAGTCGAAACAAGAGGAGAGAAGCTGTAGCTGAACTAGAGACCAGGATAGAGAAAGGAGAAAAAGACCTCAAGCTATTGGGTTTCTGGGTGGTGAGGTATCGGAAACCGATGTTGCCGAGACCTCTCTCCATAAGCCAGACGAACACCTAGGTGTTTCAGTGTGCTATACGAACGCGTGTAGTCTTAGGAATAAGCTCGCCGAATTAAGGGGATTATCTGAAAGACTACAACATGATGTGATTGCTATCACTGAGACATGGTTGTTAGTGGGAGTAAACTTAACTACACTCATACCTGGGTACAACTGCATTAGAGCGGACAGAGTAATTAGTCGGAAAGGTGACAGGGTTACCCTAGACATCAGGGATGACATAATGATTAGGTCAACGCTGTCAGAAGCACATGATAGCGCAACAGTGAAGCCGCAAGTCGTGTCATAAACTTAGACAAGGGCACTTTAACGAACGGAGTTATTTACAAAAGTCCTGCTAGCCAAGCTGATGACTTCGTTGTAAATCACTTGAGGGCGTGCAGCAGTAATAATAGGTGTCTGATAGTTGGCGACTTTAATGCTCCACATATTTATTAGCGGAGGTTAATGTCGCCAACTACCAGACACCTATTTCTACTACTCCACGCCCTCAAGTGATTTACAACGAAGTCATCAGCTTGGCTAGCAGAACTTCTGTAAATAACTCCGTGCGTTAAAGTGCCCTTGTCTAAGTTAATGACACGACTTGCGGCCTTACTGGTGCTGCATGTCGGGCAGCCGGATATGCGTTTTTAGATTCCTCCAAGTTCCAGACGATGACATTGTAACTAGAGTCCGTGAGTTTCGGAGTTTGGCTGGTATTAACAGTCTTCGAGACCTTGATGGTACACTCGGTTACTGTTTCTGTCCTACGTTAGTTTAGCTTCCTACTTGTTGGGACCAATCAAGTGGAGTCTGTTTCTTCCACTTTGTTTTGACCGCAGACGGAAGCCAGTCGTACACCAGACACGATGCGCTTTGGCGTGGCCATTTCACCAACTGGTATCACCATGCATCCCATCATCCAATGGAAAGTGGCAGTTCGGTCGGCCACAGACTCATAACTCTGTAATTTGTTTAGGCTACAGAAATATATATATATATACATGTACGTAAAAACAGTGAGGTAAAAACCAAACAAAAACACAAGATGTGAATGAAATGAACAACACTTCAAGTAAATAAGTTAGTTAAAGTGAACTAGAAATCTTCTGATGCTATATAAACCACAAAGGCCGAAGTTACTTCATAATGTAAAAATGCCACTCCTGAAGCGTTTGTCTGTTATCAATAGTTGATGTGAGTACTTAGAATAAGCTACGAGAATGACGAAATGGTTTGAACGACTAGCCACTATCTCATTTATTGTAGAGCATGATTTTTAACCAGTAGCTGTTGAGTTCGAAACCTTCGTTTCGTCCAGATTGATTGAAAGCGTACGCGCCAATCCTTATACAGTAGGTGTAGCTCAATGCTTGTTGCATGCAAAATCTCCTGTAAGTCATTAAGTTCTCACTATGTTAAAGTCAATAACATAACGGGTGTCTCGTAGTGCATTCTTTCTAGTCACGAGCGGCGTTACTTGCAGTCATTGTGGCTTCTTGTCATTGCAGCTAGCTAGTATTCGAAGAGACTCAAGAATGTCGATAGCTAACCTTGAGTCTAGCCCGGTTCGATATGTGGGTGTTGTAGACAAATGCAAGCTGTTTAGTACGGCAATGCCATATTGGTTTGTTTGTTTATTAGATGTTTAACACAGTCAAACAGGATTATTTACTGGATGTTTCACTGTGTGATACATCTAATAAACAAACCAATATGGAATTGCTTACCGCCACAATCCCCATGTTTTACACATATATTAATATGTTCAGTACGGCATTTATAATCACCACCAGAACTCAAGATAACTGTGGCAAACACTGAAGTATCATCCTAATTCGGGAAATTTCTCGAGAAGAATCAGAAATGGAGCATGCACCCATGCTATGGGTAGCGATTAGTAATGTGATATTTTTGGGTAGGAGAGGAAGGTTGATGTCTTTGATAATAAACGACAACTGTGCGGCACTTCTCGGTATGCATGCAATCTAATTTCATCCACACATATTCTGGCGTTATCATGATGAAACCGCAGGTTATTGCATTCATCTTACCGGACTGATTCGAAATAATGTGCAGGCAACTCAAATGATGTTTACAAAACAAACTCCCCGCCCACGTGAGAGATATTCATAATACGCGGCAACCTTGAATTACTTACATCCAATATTTTCGGTTGGATGTTCTTTTTACTTCGGACAGCCATTTTGGATTTTGAGACTCTTCTGAACCTTTAATTAACCTCACTAACACAGAGGCACTCCCCTGACTGCTCTAAATCCTACGAGTGTGATAAGGAAAATGATTTGAATGCATGAATATCGTCCTCTGATTTAATTTGGTTTTGTTATATACATTCCCTCACTTAACACAGTTTTAAACTTGGCTTTAGTGATGTTGAAACGTTGAGGTGGGTGATAATCCTTATTCATGAAAGGCTACTTGAAAATATCTGCATAGTTTAAGATTGGTCTAGCCTGATTTATATACCTGAAACGACCAGTTATATTTGTCTGTCTGATAACGCTTTTAGATTTGTGAGCCGTTGATATGATGGATAGGATGCTTTCTAAAATTTGTCTGGAGTGCTTAGGGACTAAATACACTGCTCACAACCTGCAGCGGCGTGAATATTCACAAAATATTTTAATGAAATTTTTGGCTAAATTTGCAACTCTTATCATCTACACCTGAATTCCATGAGAAACGCTATAGCCAGTTTCAAGTTTATGATGGGTCCGTGCCTCCATTGCATATATGTTTTCGTGAATTTGTTTTCCATTGAATTTTAAAGGTTTCTGCTGGATGTTTCGTTAATTTGTGTAGGCCAGTTTATGTCACTGGATGCTGCTATTAAGCTTATTTTTAGCCTGAAGTTCCCGGTTATTATGTTGGTAATTAAGGATTATGGCAAACCTGCAATCATTGAGCTTATTCACGTACCCTATGCAAATATAGTAACATTCTCTAGTAAGTAAACTCCATAACTGTTCTGCCATTGCTTGATTATTTGCTTAAACTGAAACTTTGCTCTGGTTTATCAACGCGACTGGCTGTAATTCACCATCTTGCTCTTCTTCTGAACATTTCCAGAAGTAGATTATCATCCTTATTGCAGCACCACTAGCCCAGGTTCAGCATCCAGCGCTCCTTTTTAAGAAGGACCAGGGTTATTTCAGTACTACTGGGTTCACTTCAAGTAGATAAAATATTCATTTAGCGTAAAAGGCATTATTGACGCATTGGTTAGATTTTGCTGAGAATTGTTGTAAACTTGGTCTTTTACGCGTCCCGAGCTTATAATAATACTGAAATAAATCTCACTAATTCTGAGATAGCCCCGCCTAGGTTACTAGCTCGAAAGATTTCTGGCCGGTCCCAAGCCCGGATAAAGAGGGAGGGTTGGGGCGTGGTGCTAGCAACTTCACCCCCAAAACTTAACCAAATCGCTACAGAAACTCCAACGAATAAATATATTAAAAATACAAAAAATATAAACAATAACCTTATTGTTCGCTGGAATTGGGGAAGTGAAATGACACAGGCTGGTGAAAGCCTTCAGGAAGCCAGTCAGCCGATGTGCCTTCTTTCAATGGAGGCAAAAATAAGGATGGGTACCTGGAATGTTCGCACAATGTATGAAACTGGAAGGGCTGCCCTGGTAGCCGCAGAAATGAGAAGGTTTAGAATAGAAGTGCCGGGAATCTGCGAGAGCAGATGGAACGAATGTGGAAGGTGCCAACTGCCAACTGGAGAGACAATAATCTATTCCAGTCACCCAGAGGACAATCACGAGCACACCGAAGGAGTGGCCATCATGATGTCACCAACAGCAGCCAAAGTTCTCTTGCGGTGGGAACCAATCTCCTCTTGCAGGATAGTGACAACTAGGTTCGACTCAAAAGGAAGGAGGGTTACAGTCATCCAATGCTATGCGCCTAAAAGCGTCTCAGAACAAGAGACGGAGAAATTCTGCAGACAACTACAAACAGTAATGGACAACGTCCCAAATGGCGATATCAAAATCCTGATGGGCGACATGAATGCGAAGCTGGGAGGAGACAATACAGGAAGAGAACTCACCATGGGTCGTGAGGCCCTCGGCGAAATGAACGACAATGGTGAACTCTTCTCAGAATTCTGCGCCTTCAATGATTTGGTGATTGGCGGCAGCGTGTTCAAACACAAGGATATACACAAGACGACATGGAATTCACCAGATAGGCATACCAGAAACCAGATGGACTTCATTTCAATCTCAAGAAAGTGGAGACGGAGCCTACTGGACAAAAGGTTGAGGAGAGGAGCAGATGTGGGTTCAGACCACTATCTAGTAGAAGGGACTTTCAAGGTGAAACTAAAAGCATCGAGGATAGCTGGGGATAGGCCACAATGCAAGTTCAACACTCAACTACTGAAGGACACAACCACAAAAGACACCTTCACTGCAACTGTCAGAGCAAAGCAGGAAACACTACGTGACAGCACTGAAGAATCATGCGTGGAAGAACATTGGAACTCTCTGAAGGCGATTCTCAACGAAACGTGTTCAACGGTTCTAGGAAGAAAGAAGAGACAAGACAAGGAATGGCTCTCAACGGACACTTGCAAATTAATAGAAGAGAGGAGAATGGTGAAAGAGAAAATGATTCAATGCAAGGACGGACAGGAGAAGGAGACGCTGAGCTCAACTTACACAGCACTGGACAAAGAAGTGAAGAAGAGTGCTAGGAAGGACAAAAGACGATTCCACGACAACCTCGCCACTGAAGCTGAGACGGCGGCAGGCAAAAAGGACCCGAGGACACTGTATCAGATAACCAAGTCTCTATCCAGGAAGAGATCAACACAAGCGAAACCTATAAAAGACAGCCAAGGGAACTCAATCACCAAGGAAGAAAGACAGATTAAACAATGGGCAGATCACTTCAAAGGACTCTTGAACCGACCATCACCTGCGACCCATCCAGAAATGCCAACAATAGCGCTCACACAACTGCAAGTTGACACCAATCCTCCAACGAGAGCAGAAGTCTTGAATGCAATCAAGCTTCTGAGAGCTGGAAAAGCAGCCGGAACAGATGGAATAAACCCTAGGGAACTGAAAGCGGACCCAGAGACAACAGCAGACATGCAGACTCCATTATTGTAAAAGGTCTGGAAGGAGGGAAAGGTGCTTTCAGCCACGTCTCGTAAACCGTTAATGCCCAGCTCTTGCTACGTTCGGGCTCACAGCTCACAGCTCACGTTCAAGTTGTACAGAACTTTTGTTCAACTCAGCAGTAGTAGGCATATCCCTCATCTCATCATGATCAACCAAAGACAAATGTGAAGTATCATGATCATTATCACGAATATTCACTTTACCGTCAATTCCCTCATTTTCAAACTCTTTAATAACAGCAGTAGACAATTTTGATTCCTCCTCGCAAATCCTAAAAGGTTTTATAACTTCACTCTGACTAGTAATACCTTGTAAACTTGTGGAGTCAGAACTGCACTCTGAAGCAGCAACTCTATTCTGTGACACCTTATTCAACAATGGCTTACCAGTTGCAACTACAGACTTCTTGACCGCACCGTTATCGTCACACGATTCGGAGTCAGGCCTGGAGTTTACATTTAGCTTATCACTGAACTTGCTCACTGGTTCACAGTTCACCTTTGTATGCACCTCTTGCAAACGTGTAAAACACAACCGTGTTTGTCTTGCATCTTGTAACTTATCTGTTGATGAGGTACTACGAAACCTGTTACACTCACTAGGTCTATATGCATTACTAGACATCATGGAGCCTTCTCGATATCTACCTCTCTGAGGCCTATTCGTCATCAATGATTGCGTTTTACCCTCAGACTGCTGTATTCTAGGGGTGAGATGCAATATACTGGCAAACTTGCTCATCGATTGATTGACACTATCTTTTACTAGTTTCAGGATATCATCAAACTTTGTCTCGATAACCTCATCCTCCATACGGGAGCTTATCTTCACCCACTTCCTTTGCAGTCGAGTAGGTAGGCGTCTTGCTGTTACTCCTAGTTCAAAACTCGAGTTGAAGTCACTCATGCAATTCATAGAAATCAAGGTATTCTTATAAGTCATAAGATTATCTAAAAACTCAGTAAGTGCCTTGGAGTCATCTTGAAGCTGACTGCCGTTACCTCTGACAGCTTCGTATACGTTCCTTACAATCACTGAAGGTCTTCCAAACCTTTGACGTGATATGCTCATAGCCTCAGCGTATCCCTCATTAAAGGGCATGAGCTCACAGCACTGTATAGCTCTTGCAGCCTCTCCAGTGCAATACCTCACCAAATACATCAATTTCAATTCATCACTTAATAAAATACTACTCAGCATGATCTCAAACTCCTTTACAAATTGTAAATAATCAGCCGGGTTTCCGTCGAAACATCGTGGTTCAAATTTAGGGAGTTTGATGTTCCTATTATCCCTGGACGGCGAAACAGTAACATCAACCATGTCATGCTTAACATCAGACACATCATCACAAGTAACAGACAAGTCACCATAACTTACTTTCCTGTTTGCATCCAAGACGCTCTGTCCCTTCTTTGACCCAGGTATGGTTAAATTTGACTCAATTCCAAAAAAGTTCCAGATATTGCTTGTTCAAAGAGGACTTGACCGGCACCAGGAGAGATGAACGGTGACTATCCAAACTTTCACCAACTGTCTGAATCCGCCAGAATCTCTTTCTAACTGTCAGAAACTCTCAGTCACGTCTCGTAAACCGTTAATGCCCAGCTCTTGCTACGCTCGGGCTCACGCTGTCCCGTGAAGTTTCTCAGAAACGCTTAGTAATAACGGACGCAAAAACCAAAACACCAGTTGTTGACTCGAGGATTCTTTATTGTTACACCAACATATAAATCAAGTATGACTAAGGTCTGTGAACAAATATTACAGTAATAAATCACAATATTACTTCTGACGGTGTTTTATTCTTCTTTCTGAACAGCGACCGATGAGACGATGACTGTCGTATTGATGCCTCCGCGAAAATTGGGGAAGTTGATTTTGAGCAAACAACCATGAATTGATCGTTCAATATTCAACTACATTGACAGGTGCCTACTGACTGGAGGAATGGTTACCCCATGAAACTACCAAAGAGGGAGACTTAGGACTC